TCTCTCTCTTTCTCTGCCTCTCTCCCCATTTCATGCTCTGAAACTAAAAAAAAAAAAAAAAAAAAGGAAACATACATTGTAACATGTATTTCACTGTATATAGCACACATGTATACCCTATTTTATTTATCCACTCATCCACTAATGGGCATTTGCGTTGTTTTTGTCTTTTGGCTACCGTGAGCACAAGTACAAGTTTCTGTTTCAACAATTTTTTTTCAATTCTTATGGCAAATACCTAAAAAGGGAATTACTAAGTCATATGGTAATTCTAGGTTTAACCTGTTGAGGAAACACCAATCTGTTTAGCACAGCAGCGGCACCATTATGGACCTCTAACAATGTACGAGATTACCAATTTCTCCACATCCCCACCAACACTTTTTGGGGGTTTGCAAATTTTCTTTTTCCGGCTGCCCTTGCAGGGGTGGGGGGTGCAGGGGGTGAAGTGGTATATCACTGTGGTTTTGATTTGCATTTCCTTAATGGCTAACAATGTTGAGCATCTTTTCATGTGCTTGTTGGCCATTTGTACATCTTTGGAGAAATGTCTACTCAAGTCTTTTGCCCACTTTTTAAAAAAGTTTTAATGTTTATTTTAGAGAGCGAGCGAGCGTGCGCAAGCAGAGGAGAGGTAGAGAAACACACACAGAATCCAAAGCAGGCTCCAGGCTCTGAGCTGTCAGCAAAGAGCCTGAGGCAGGGCTAGAACTCACCAGCAGTGAGATCATGACCTGAGGCAAAGGCGATACCAAACCGACTGAGCGACTCAGTTGCCCCAAGTCTTTTGTTCATTTTCAAATTGGGTTGTCTTTTTATTGCTGAGCTGTGAGAGTTCTTTGTGTATTGTGGATATTAGACCCTTAACAGATAGAACTTGAAAATATTTTCTCCCATTCTGTGGACTGTCTTTCTCATCCCTTGATAGTGTCCTTTGAGGAACAAACATTTTAAATTTTTATTAAGTCCAATTCTTCTGTTTTTTCTTCTCTTGTTCCTCGCTTGTGCTTTTGTTGTCATAGCTAGAATCCAATGTTAAATCCAGGCCATGAAGACTTATTTGTTTTCTTCTAAGAGTTTCATAGTCTTGCTCTTACATTTAGGTCTTTAATTCATTTTGAAGTAATTTTTATATATGATATAAAGGGTCCAGCTTCATTTTTTTCCATGGGAATATTCTGTTGTCCCAGCACCATTCATTCATTTTTCTTTCCACAATGACTGGTCTTGGCATTCTCGTCAAAAACCAACTGCCCATGGGGCACCTGGGTGGCTCAGTTGGTTAAGGGTCCAACTCTTTTTTTTTTTTTTTTTTTTTTTAACAAATAGTTTATGGTCAAGTTGGTTTCCATATAACACCCAGTACTCATCCCCACAAGTGAAGGGTCCAACTCCTGATTTTGGTTCAGGTCATGATCTCACAGTCCATGAGACTGAGTCCAGCGTTGGGCTCTGCGCTGACAGCACAGAGCCTGCTTAGGATTCTCTCTCTCACCCCCCTCCCCTCTCAAAATAAACAAACATTAAAAAAAAAAAAAACAATTTCCCATGAACGTGCGGGTTTCACACGTTTCTGGACTCTCAACTCTATTCCACTGAGCTACAGGTCTAGTCTTATGCCAGGAGAGCCGTCTTGATTACTGTAGCTTTGTAGTAAGTTTTTAAATCAGAAGTGTGCATCTTCCACCTTTGTTCTTTTTCAAGACTTTTTTGGCTATCTTCTACATGGAATCTCCCTTTAAACACATCTAACAAAATTAATAGAACTACATCACACCAAAGGTAGCAGTGGTAGACAGGGAGAAGTGCAGCATAACCCAGAATGACCTGTACCCTCTGAAATGCAAAAGTTATTCCCTTTGATTTCAACAATTTCAGCAGTGCAGGAAACAGGATTACACAACAAATAAAAGTTTATATGACCAAAGAACTGAGAAAACAATTCTTCCCTTGTTTAATCTGTGTTCTCCCCAGCCCGCCAAGATAAATGAGAGGGAGTTGGGCAGGTTTCGGTTTTGTGATTTATAACCAGACCACAGACCTGGGACAAGGGCCTTTCACTTCTTCCACAGAACTGTTTAAAACATTAACTCAGTGGAAGATGCTCAAAGTTTCCAAAAAGGAAATATTCCAGGAGAGTAAGGAAGTGATAATCAGCATATTCAACTTTTGCCTATTTCCCCTGGACCCAAAAATGAATCTACTCCTAAAGGCTTTGAAAACAGAGCCTCTACTTGAAATAACACTCCTTACACGTGTTTAAAAATTTCCACACATTTCTGCATCTATTTTCTCTTTCTGATAAACTCTGCAGGGTTATCATACATAAGGACAACCCTAACCTTTTAATATTTTAAATATTCCTTCAGGTCCCTGCCTTGAGCGTGTTGGCAGTGGAATTCTGCCACAAATGCTGGCGGTTAACATGCAGTATTCACAATGAAAGACCATGGATGTAATAACACTGCCTCTGGACACTGTCCCTCAGCTTAGTCACTTAGGCAACTCTCACCTAATTCCAGTAGAACAGCGTGAACCTCAGAGTTTGCGCTGGAGGGAAGTCACCATAGGGTCTCAGTCAAGGGAGCTCCCATGGTTTACCTTGAGCCAAGGAAAAAGTTGCCACAGAACTTTGTTCCTTGAAGGGAGAAATTATACCTAACTCTAAAACCCCAATAACCCCTCACTCATCTTTTGACATCTCTTCTATATTTAGCCTGCAGGATTTGCTCAGCAGGTACAATTAAATACAGTGGTCAGTAGTCGCTAATCTAGAGATCATCAGAATCACCTGTGAAATTTTCAAGAGCAGTTGGAAATCCTACCCAAAATTCATTCAGCAGACCAAAGGGTGGTATCCAACCATTTCCAGCTTAACATATGCCACAAGTAATTCAGTTAAAAACCTAAGGTTTAAAGAACACTCCCTTCTGTAAACTACACTAGGTAATTTTGCTTAAAAGAAAATATGGCCAGATTTTTGGAAGGGCAGCAGTGAGTTTTCCTCCCTGGCGGCCTCTAAGAAATTTATGCCCTAAACTGAACTCAGGCCCTGCACTTCCAATCTAACTAGGTAAAAATAAGCACCAAGTTTACAACTGTTCTTCATATTATCCCAGCGATGTGTATTAATCACGTTTTCTAAATTTTCTGTATCTTACATTTTGCTGGTAGGGAGAGACTGCCCTTCCCAGGGCTATCTAATTCCTAAAGATGATAATCAAGTTACTTGGGAGCTGCCTCTCACATGCAGACCAATCAACTCCTTTAATGCTCACAGATGAGGCCAGTATTTCCCCTGCTCTAAATCATGCCAGGGCCAGGTACCAGGCATCTAGAGACCACCGCTATAGCCCAAAGCCCACCAGAATTATTCACACTAACCACTCCGACACTGTTTACTCTGCCCTGCCTTGCCTTTCTCAAAGAATAAAGGCTCTGACCTAACATTTCCTCTGTCTCCTGCTCTCCCTCCTGATCAAAACATTCCCTGTGGCGCCATGTGGCATGGCATACCTATTTCTTCTCTCTGGAAATGTAATCAATTTTCTTTTTTTTATATTTTTTAACATTTTATTTATTTCTGAGAGAGATAGAGACAGCATGAGCAGGGGAAGGTCGAGAGAGAGGAAGACACAATCTGAAATAGGCTCCAGGCTCTGAGCTAGCTGTCAGGCCAGAGCCCGATGCGGGGCTCGAACCCCCGAACCCTGAGATCATGACCTGAGCCGAAACCGGACACTCAACTGACTGAGCCACCCAGGCGCCCCTGGAAATGTAAATTCTTTCGATGGCACTGGCCTCTGTGTTGTCACCCAGTCACCTCTACAAATTAAAATGCTACCAGTATAAATGAGGCATTCCACCCTAACCATGACTCTTTGCTGCCACTACTCTTTTGGTGTTTACTAAACTAATTCAACTGGAAACCATACTACAAAATAACTTAGGTTTCCAAAACCGTACAGAAAAAGCTCTTGGGAGTCCTGTTAGCATTTGAAACTCAACATTCAGAACTAAAACCAGTATGGCCCAGCAAACTGGTATATACCCCTAAAAACACAAAACATGTACAACAATGTTCACAGCAGCATTATTCATAATAGCCAAAAAGTGGAAAAGTCGATTTATCATCAACTGATAAATGGGTAAACAAAATGTGGAATAGCCATACAAGGGAATATTATTCAGCCACTAAAAGAAATGAAGAATCAATTCATGCTACAACATGGATGGACCTTAAAAACATATGCTAAGTAAAAGCCAGACAGAAAAGGCCACATACTGCACAATACCATTCATATAAAATGAAAAGAATAGGCAAATCCATATCAACAATGGTTTCCAGGGGTCAAGAGGCTGATTGGTGGAGCTGGGTGGGGAAAGAGAGAATGGGGGCTAACTGCTAATGGGTAGAGGGATCCCTGTGTGGGTTTACAAAATGTTCTGAAATTAGTGATGATTACACAACCTTGCATGTGAAAAACCACTGAATGAACATTTTAAAAGGGTGAATTTGGGGGGCACCTGGGTGGCTCAGTCAGTTAAGCGTCTGACTCTTGATTTTAGCTCAGGTCATAATCTCACGGTTTCTGAGCTGCAGCCCGGTGTGGGGCTCCCCACAGACAGAGGGGAGCCTGCTTGGGATTCTCTCTCCTCTCTCTCCGCCCCTCCCCGCGCTTGCTCGCGCTGTCTCAAATAAACTTTAAAAGTAAATAAAAGAATGATTCTTACGGTATGTAAGTTATAGCTTTAAAAACTAAATACTCTCTTCCCTTCAAAGCTGGTCTTCCCCCCCTCCCCCGCTCATTACTTCCGGTAAACGGAACCACGTTCCACCAAGGCTAGAAACCTACAAATCTTAACAAGTCAAACGCCTATTTCTCCATTCTTTCCACTCTAACTACCAATGCTGGGTACCCTCATTTTTCATCTACATTACAACATTTTCCTAATTGGTCTCACGGCCTCCATTCTGGCCTCTACACATCCTTCCTCACCTGCAACAAGAATGTCTCCCGTCTCCAGAGGACCCAGGCCGGGTTGACGCTCCAAGCACTACCACGAAATACACGGTCCTCAAACTTCAGCCCGCGGGGAAACCCTCGGGCCGCACGTCTCCCTGCCCCCTACCTCGCGCACTAGCCGGGTCGGAGGGCGGAACGGCGCTGCCTCACGCGGCCACCACCGCCCGACCTCCCGGCCTTAGCCGGCTGGATACCACTTGGGGCAGGGGGCTCTGCGGCCCCAAAGGGCCGGTGCGCTCTGAGGGGCGACCCTGAACACAAAGATATTTCCTGTGCCAACCGTGGTGGACCCAAACTTCAACTAAATACTGCGGCTGTGCCCTAAACTAACCCTGACTCTTCCTCAACACTGAACACGCTTTGCGAGGTGCCACGCACACGGCCAGCCACGCGAGCCTCGAGGGCCGCCCTCAGCCATGCCCCGCCTCGCGGCGTCCGGAAACTATCGCAGCCGCGCGCCCGGGCCGCGGAGGACGACGGGAAGAGAGCTTCCCGGGCCGCTCCGCGCCTGCGCAGGAGCAATCCTCCGCGGGGGGCGCCGTTTGGCGCATGCGTAGGCGCGAGAGTCTCCGTTGAGAAGGTGCCTCGGCGGCGCCGGAGGTAGGAGGAGTCGGCTTTAGGGCTGGGAGTCTGCAGTTGGGAGAAGAGGTCCAGGCACCTTGAGCTCTTGCCGTTCTTGGTGGGAGAGAAAAGCCTTTCTCGCCCGCGGTGTAGAGGCAGGAGCCGCAATTGGTTGGAGGGCCTGGGGCAGCCTGGGAGGACGGGTGGGCTGATCGCATATCCCGGGGTCGCGGCCCGGGCGTCAGTCTGACGATCGGAATTCGCCGTCTGGCTTTACAGCAGCCAGAGCTCTTGACAGCCATTCCCCAGGCCGAGTCACCCGCCGGATTCCCTAGTGTCACCGGGTTGGGGGCAGCGGGAGGGTCCGCCCCGCACTGCCCATTCATTCGTGCAGCGGCAGGTACCAAGCGGAGTAGACACTAGTCCCGACCCTATGGAAACGTGCCGCTTACTTCAGCAAGTACTGAGTGAGCACCTATAGGAGGTAGGCTGTTTTAGGGCTAATATCAAAGGCGATGTGGAGACTCAGCGGGGTGTGGAGGGTGGAATTTGCTCTGGCTCCCCGCGTCCAACAGGCTCAGTTCTGGGGCTTCTCCCTGCAGCCTTCTCTCCCACCACGTTCCCTTCGCTCCCATGGTACCAAACTCATTGCACTTAATTCAACAAATAATTGTCAAGCATTTTTAAATTTTTATTTATTTTTACAAATCAGGTATCTCACCAGCCATAGCGAATATGTAGTAAAATAGATGAGTCTGTGCCCTCTTGAAGTTTTGAGCTGAGTAAGGGACAGATATTAAGTAAGTGAATAAAAACGTAGGAGCCCATGCCCTGGAACCACACTGCTGGGATGTGATCCCAGCCCTGTCACTTCAAAGGCTGTGTGACCTTAAAGCAGTTACTCATTCTTGTGCCTGACTCTTGCTGTAAAGGGATGACAATACAGTCTACCCAACAGGATTGTTGTAAGGATGATATGACTTAGACTAGTAAAGCATTCAGACCTGTGCCTGGCATACAGTAAGCATTCAATAAATGTTATCTGTTACAAATGATGGTAACTTCTTATAAGTGCGATTGTGAAAACTGTGATGACAGAACATGATGGGAGTGGAGAGGGTCCACTTGGATAAAGGATGAGGGGAAGCTTCTTTAAGGAGGACATGGAAGGTGAGAATGGGCCAACTGTGCAAAGTAGATAACAGGTGTGCGTGTCTGCCCACCTCCAGAAAAATAGGTGATTAATTGGATTACTCAGACAGTGGAGATTTGAAATTAACTTTCAGTTTTGACTTTTGAATCCCACTAAATTGTGCAAGTGTAAACAATCACACCCATAAGGCTCAGCCTTTGCAGTGGCCACCATTCTAGTTAAGTTTGGAGAGCTCTTGCTTGAGTGACAGAGGGTAGAAAAAAAGTGGCCTTCTTTTGATTTGGAAAGATTCCTCATATCAGTGATGAATGCGCCTCCTGTACTGTCTTTCATTTCTTCCCAAGTGTTCAAGCTCTTTCTTTCTTCATTCCCCACCTTCCTCCCCTGCACATTGAGTTGCCTGTTGGTAGGTCCTGAAGGATAGTTTTTCTGCATTTGGTGGTCATCTTGTTTGTGCAGTGACTGCCCTTCATGGGATTCATTCATGCCCCAGCTTTCAGTAAAAACAATACTCTTTCAAGATGCTCATGGTCTTTCTTTGATGAGTTTCTAGATCCCTCCCCCTGTGGTGTGCTGTGATATCCTGTAAGACCATGAGTTTGTGTTACCCAGGCTGTACTTGAGTATTTGACACATGTACTGTTACTCTGAGGATGTTGTCCATACTCCACATCCCTCTTGTACCTTCCTGGAAGGAATGGCATAAAATACAATCTCTGTCTAATTACATTTAGATGCTTTTGGTTTTCCACAGATATGTTGTGACATTAAATGAACCAGTGTGCTTTATCACATGGAGATCTTGGAGAATCACCGACCATGAAGTTCACAGGTATCCTATCTCGGAGGCATCTGTTGGACAGCAAAAGCTCTCAGATGTGAACTTTAAACGTGCTGTTTAACACAGACTCGGTTTGAAGAAAGCCATCTTAAATGCTTATGGTGGGGAAAGTACCACTTGTTGCTCAATTGTGCAAGCTCTCCAGCTGTCCTAGTGAGAAGTAGAGAGGAGCCGTGATGGAGCTGCAAGTTTGAAGGAGACCCTCCTAAGCTTGTTGTCGGGCCCCCAGATAGACCTCACACCTCTCAAGAACACCTGAGGGCCTTAAAGTTGGTGAGATGATGGATGAGTCAGACGATGATTTTAAGGAACTCTGTGCCACCTTTCTCCAAAGGGTGAAAAAGAATGGCACCAAGGAGGTGTCGGGGGAAAGGAAGACACAAAAGGCCTCAAACAGCACTGAGATAAGCAAACTGAAAAGGACCAAACCAGCTGCTACCAAGAGCAAACCCCTTCAAGGCCCCAGGGAGAAGAAGAGTCGGTCTGGCAGCCAGGCCCCAAGGACTAAAAGGCAAGGGGCACCCAAGTTGCAGGAGAGCAAACCAGCTCCCCCTGAGAATGGAGAGGGAAGTGTGCCTGCCTCTGCTGTGCTCCGGGAGAGTGTGCAGAACCCCCAGACAGGTAATTGGGCCAGAGTCACTGGTAGGCAGTACATTTCCAGAAAGGAAACCAGAGGTGACTACTGTTTTAAACCAGGGGTCAGAAAACTTCCTGCAAAGGGCCAGATAGTAAATTACTTTGGTTCTGCACTCACAATCTCTGTTGCGACTTCTCAGCTCCCTAGACAATATGTAAGTAAATGAATGGGCTGTGTTCCAACAAAACTTCATTAACGAAAATACGCAGCCAGCCTGAGGACCATAGCTGGTTGACTCCTGTTTTAAACAATGGTCAAATATAACCCCTGCATGGACTTTCTACATGATTATATTTGTGGCCCTCTACTCTTTCAGAGTTTCCTATTAATCTCTACATTATGTAGTTGACACAAGTTTCATGGACATGAAAATAATGCTGCTTCTCTCATTTTCTTGAATTCATTCCAGAGTGGTTAAGTTGCCAGCCAGTTTGTTTAGGCTGCTCAGAAGGTAGTAGGAAGTTGCCAAGTGGGTTTAAACACCAGGCGAATCTTCAGGTCCTTCCTTTCTCTTCCAAACACCTTTGTTCTTTTCCATTGTTTGAAGCAGGTTTCTTACCCTGCTGCCCTTGGTCTACTGAACCATTTGTGTAGCATGCCTCCTTCAAGCAGAGCTGAGAACCAGCCTTGCATAAGATATTTGGGCTCCTGGGTTCTGCTTCTAAATATTTTTCACCTTCACTTCCTAATCTGAAATGATATTTTTACCTAGTGTGGTCAGCATCATCTCTCAATGGAGTGGTGGTAAACACTTAGCTGGCAGAGACCGTTGTAAGGCATCAGTGATGTTAGCGAAATGTCGTTGGTCCCTCATGCACCCTTTGGGAGTCTAGCGAAAGCCACGCATGACTCCCTCAGAAAACCGCAGCCCCGTGCACACCTGTGAAACTGGCATAAAACTGCAGGGGCTTCATGGATCCCCACCAGAGGCCATCTGCGGATGCCAGGTTACAGGAGAACTTATGACCTAGGAAAATCAAAATGTTTGTCATTAACATTTTTTTTAATAACAGCTTTAGAGAAAGAATTCACATTCTATAAAACGCACCCTTTTCAAGCATAGTCCAGTGGGTTTAGCATACTCACAGAGTTGTGCAGTCATTACAACTCCGCGACTTTGGAACATTTCCATCACTCCAAAAATAAACCCTGTGCTCATTAGCAGTCACTCCCTCCCATCATAGATATTTGTGACAGGTCTATTTATATTCCCCCCAACAGGGAGGATACCAGTGATCACTCCCATTCACACATGAGAGTTAAACCTCAACTAGTTGGTAGAGGGCCCCTCAAGACTTGGGTCTAACCTGGATCTGCTGGAAGGCTTTGTTTCTCCAGCTAGAACACATGCCTGTGAATGTTTTCTTCCTTGCCAGAAGCGACTCGGGACAGCGACTCCCAGCCCCCTCCTTCCCATCTGACAGTGATGGGGCCGAGTCCCTCCAAACCCCGGACAGCAGAGCTGGTCCTGCAGCGAATGCAGCAGTTCAAGAGAGCAGACCCTGAGCGCCTGCAGCATGCTTCCAAACGGTGCTCCCTGGAGTCTGCGGTTGAAGAAAACCTGCCGAAGGGCCCTGGAGAGGAGATGACAGGGGATGGTATGATGGGAGTTTTACATCTTCCCCTCAGGGATAAGTTCTAACTCTAGAGAAAGGTGGGGAGGTGGGAGGGAGGTGGCATTCCTGGAGTTTCTGGTGGGGACGGGCTCTCTGCCTGGCATTGTACCTTGGCCACTTCATTGTTGCTAGCCAGAGAATGAAGGGTCCCTTGGGTCATTTCTCCTTAGCTTCTTTGACAAGGTACCTCTCCCTCTTTTTTATTTATTTTTATTTATTTATTACTTTTTAGAGAAAGAGGATGTGAGCAGGAAGAGGGGCAGAGAGAGAATCTTAAACAGGCTGTATGTTAACACAGAGCTCAGTGCCAGGCTCAATCCCATGACCCTGGGATCATGACCTGAGCCGATATCAAGAGTCAGACATTCAATTGACTAAGCCACCCAGGTGTCCCTATTTTGACTTTTTATTATGAATTTTTTCCCATACACAAACGTAAAAGAAATATATATTACAATGAACCCCCATACCTTCAGCTTGTATTTAACAATTAACATTTTGTCATCTATTTGGTATATACGTTTCTTCTATACCATTAGAAAGTAAGTTCCAGACATCATGATGTTTCAGCCCTCGATCTCCTACATGGTCAAAGTACTGCTGCCACACCTAATTCCATAGTATTGCCTAGTGTCCACTTCATGTTAAAATTTCCCTGCTTGTCCCAAGGACAGTTTTATAGCTGGTTTCTTTTTTTGTCTGAATAAGGATCCATCAGAACTATACATCCACAAACTGCATCTGCAACAGTTTAACAGTCTCTTAAAGTCTAGACTCTAGAACAGCCCCCTTGTCTTTTATCACGATTTTTTTCATTAGTCCAGGACAATTGTGTTTTAAAATTTCCCACTTTCTAAATTTGTTTGCTTTTTGTTCATGGTGTCATTTAACCACTTCCTGTAAGCCCTGTGTTGCATCACATGTGAGTAGACTAGAGGTCTGAGTGGCTCAGGATTAAACCAGCTTGGCAACTACATTACAGGTAGTGTTCAATGCACATTGTCCTGCCCCAGGAGGCAGGCGCATTCTTTATCACCCAAACAACATGAGTCCTTCTCTCTGGTGAAAATATACAAAAGGAAAAGACATATGAAGCTCCTACAGCTAATAAATATACTAATTTATATACATATAAATAAATAAATATGGTACGGATGTGCATCTTGGTACTGATGTGCAGATTTCCCCTTGGGAGCCCTGAGGATTCTCAGGCTATCTCTGAGGCCCACGCAGGCAGTGATGTGACAGCTGCCGTGGCATCAGTCCCCTCAGCACCAACAGCGTGCACAGGAGTTGCTCAGCTAGAACCTGAGCTCAGCATCTGCCCTCCAAGCAACTCAGTGTTTCTATTTATCTTCACAGCATACCCAGTTAAAAAAAAATTGTTAAAAAAAAATTAAGGTACAAAAATGAAATGTGGTGTTTTTCTGGCTTCAGTGGAAAGAGTGATAGACCGTAGGAATATTCAAGAACTGGGGATTTGTGGAGTTCTCCAAGCATCTCCCTGTGAGGGCCAAGGGTCTGCTCCACCAAATTCAGACGTGACAGAGGGCCTCAGCTGTAGGCCCTACCACCCTGGGAGCCATCTCCAGGCCAAAGCCGGTCCGTCCATCCTTTGGTCTGATGCTGAGAAGGAGACTCTGCCTTTGAAGAGAGAAAGGCACTTCACTTTGACCTGTTTCTTCTAGGATGGGCAACAAAAGGTCGTGGCAGTAGGAAAGGCTGAGCTTTGAAGAGAAAACCTAGATTTATTGGAATAGGAGCCTTGCAAGCCTGGAATGCCTGAGGTAGACTTTAGCAGAAAGGGTGAAAACGGAAGGCACATTCTCTAGGACCTGCTGCTCAGTGGTCCTGACCCAGCAGCGCTCCCTCAGCGGGGAGTTGTCAGAAATGTGGAATCTCGGGCCATCCTCTGGGATGCGAACCTGCGTTATAACAGGCTTCCCGAGGTTCTGCTCCATGTTACAGTTGGGGAGTTCTTGCTCCAGGGCCCTGGTTACGTCCATGCTCACTGGACAGGTCGGGGCATGAGGCAGAGCGGGGCCGGGTCTGCTTTCTCCACACTCTGCCCGCTGTGTGTGCTGCGGGAGGCCTGGCAAGTAGTGCAGGGGTCTGAGGGTGAGCTCGTCCTCACGGATATTCGTGCCTCTTCTCAGGGTTGGGGCCCGGGCTCCCTGCCACAGAGAGCGACGCGGCGGTGGCCTTGGCCCTGCAGCAGGAGTTTGGCCAGGAAAAAGCATCCTTACATGAGAACCTGGAGGAGACGGGGTGGTTCTTCTGCCAGATCTGTCGTAAGAATCTCTCAGCCATGAACGTGACACGGAGGGAGCAGCATGTGAACCGGTAGGAATGGGCTGACTGTTGCCTTTCTGTGGTCACCTCTCCCGTGGGTGTGACAGGTCCAGTGGACTCTGGGGGCGGAATCCGGAGACACCTGGCTATGACCATAGCACCTCAGTGTTGGTGTCAGCCTGTCCTTGCTGTTTTTTAACACAGCTTTATTTTTTTACACACTTCCCATATGATACAGTTGATTTTAAATGAACAGTTCAGTGGCTTTTATTTATTTTATTCACAGAGTTGTGCAGCCATTACTACAATCTATTTTATTTTATTTTATTTTTAATGTTTTACTTATTTCTGAGAGAGACAGCGTGAGCAAGGGAGGTTCAGAGAGAGAGGGAGACACAGAATCCGAAGCAGGCTCCAGGCTCTGAGCTGGCTGTCAGCACAGAGCCCGACGCCGGGCTTGAACCCACCAACCGTGAGATCATGACCTGAGCCGAAGTCAGACGCTTCACTGACTGAGCCACCCAGGTGCCCCACCACAATCAATTTTAGAGGACTTTCACTCCCCCAAAAAGAAACCCTATAGGGACGCCAGGGTGGCTCAGTCGGTTGAGTGTCTGACTTCGGCTCAGGTCATGATCTCACGGTTGGTGGGTTCGAGCCCGGCGTCGGGCTCTGTGCTGACAGCCAGCTCAGAGCCTGGAGCCTGCTTCGGATTCTGTGTCTCCCTCTCTCTCTGAACCTCCCTTGCTCACGCTCTCTCTCTCAGAAATAAATAAAACATTAAAAAAAAAATAGAAAAAGAAAAAAGAAACCCCATACCCAGTAGCCCTCACTGTCCCTTCCCACCCCCACCAACGACCCTCCAAGCCCCTGGCAACCGCTCATGCACTTTCTGTCTCTGTAGATTTGTCTGTTCTGGACATAAGTGGAATCACGCAAGACATAGCCTATTGTGTCTGGCTTCCTTCACTTGACAGGGTTTTCATGGTTCATTCAGGTTACAGCATGGATCAGAATTTCGTTCCTTTTTACAGTTGAACAATACCGCTTCGTAGGGATAGACCATGTCTTGTTTATCTTTCATCCGCCGGTGGATGAATGCATTGTTTCTACCTTTTGAATACTGCATCTAGAGCTGCTAGGAGTATGTGTTTTGTGTATTAGTTTGAGTGTGTGCTTTCAGTTATTTGGGTCATATACTTAGGAGCAGGATCGCCAGCATGTAACCTGTCCTTGCCTTCTTCAGCCAGCTTCACTAACAGATCCCTAAATGTAGGGGTTCAAAGGCTGAGTGCAAGCCTCGTGGAGGAGCTGGCTGCAGCCTGCAGCATGTCCGTGCTGTCGTGGACACAGGTCTGCTACAACCCACATTACCAGGGAGAGCATTCCGTGTTCACTGTCTTCCTCCAGGTGCTTAGATGAGACTGAAAAGGCATTGACACCCTCCACACCTCGGATCCCCGAATGCCCGATTTGTGGGAAGCCATTTCTCACCCCAAAGAGCAGAATCAGTCACCTGAAACAGTGCGCAGTGAAGATGGATGTCGGCCCCCAGCTCCTGCTCCAGGCTGTGCGACTGCAGACGGCTCTGCCGGAGGGGGCCAGTGGCATACTGGCATCAAGGTGAGTCACATGAAAAGGAAGAAAACCACAGAAACGCTCTTTTTTTTCTCTTTAAAGCCTTTTGTAGTAGTAGAGAAGAACAGAGCCCTAGGCTCCTACCCACAATCCCCAAGATTCTGGAAACAAAGCATTTGAGAAGGAAATCAGGCACAGTCCCCACTGGGATGGAGGAGGAGACAGAGTCTGCATCCTCGAAGGCTTTGAGGTGGTCCACGCAGGTGTGTCTGTGCAGAGGACTGGCTGGGCTGGTTTCCTAGAGGACCTTCCTGAGATTTTCCCATTCTCTCCATCCTGCGGTCGGTGCCCTCTGGAGCAGTGAGGAACTTGGAAACCCACTGTCCCATGTCCACATCCCGTGTGCTGTGACACGACTTCACCTCTGTGCGGGCCGATTCTCACCCTGTTAATGTAAGCGGACTCGGCATCGTTCAAAGAGTTGGCAAGCAAAAGCACAGGCCTTTTTTTAACGTGCATGAATTAAATGCTTAAGTGTTACAGTAGGAGGCCTGCACATAGCTAGAAATAAGTCCTTGGTGTGCAAACCACAGGTACACGTGCAGCTCAGCTCCCCTGCACACTGCCCCCGCTGAGGTGGACGCTGGCGTTACAGGGAACAATCTAGCACAGACCCTGGACTTCTGTAGGTTTGGAATTTCTTTCCTTTGACAGCTGTCAAGAACAAAGGGAAGGCCAGGGGCAGTGGCTCTGTGTGTCCTGGCCAATGTCTTGCACACAGGTTGTGGGTGTCTGAGCTGGGCCAATGGTGAGACTGGGGTAGGCAGAAGTCAGTTCTTAGCTGTCAAGACTGTCTATATTATAGCACGTCAACACTAGCATCTCAGAATTGGAAGCTTTAAGGCCCTAGCATAGATATTATCTAAGCCAGGGGCGCCTGGGTGACTCAGTCGGTTAAGCATCCGACTTCGGCTCAGGTCATGATCTCACGGATCATGGATTTGAGCCCTGCGTCAGGCTCTGTGCTGACACCTAGCTCAGAGCCTGGAGCCTGTTTCGGAGTCTGTGTCTCCCTCTCTCTCTGACCCTCCCCTGTTCACACTGTCTCTCTCTCTCTCAGAAATAAATAAAACATTAACAAAAAAAATTTTTTTAAAAAGATATTATCTAAGCCATTGTTGTCTTTCGGCAAGACTGGATGGCAGCTACTTACTCAGATTAAATATATCTGTTTTTTTTTTAACGTTTTATTTATTTCTAGGAGAGAGAGACAGCATGAGCAGGGGAGGGTCAGAGAGAGAGGGAGTCACAGACTGAAACAGGCTCCAGGCTCTGAGCTGGCAGTCAGCACAGAGCCCGACGCGGGGCTCGAACCCACGAACCGCGAGATCATGACCTAAGCAAAAGACGGACTAACCGACTAAGCCACCCAGGCGCCCTTAAATATATCTGCTTTTTAAAATACCTCCAAGAAGAGGCACAAGATGTGTGTGCGTCTTTCTAGAAGATTATTAAAGTAGAGAACTACAGCAGATGGACACCTTCACTGAGGCTTTGAGCCTCACCTGCCCTAAGGCCCAGACTGGGGTGTTTGGAACTCTGGGATAGTGGATGCGGGGATGGCCCCTTTCCCTCTGGGAGGCTGTGGTTACCATATGGGGTTCCATAGAAGTTCAGCCAGGAAGTTGAACTGAATTAGGGCTTATGTAGATCTTCCGAGGTGATACCTGAGATTGAGCCATCCCTGGCCCAGGAGAGAACATGAACTTCTCTGTAAAGGCCAAAGGTGCTTTCTAGAGCAGCCCCACAGCTGGGTTTGCGCTCCCGGTTTCTCTCTCGCCTTTGCCCTCCTATTTCTCCCTCAGCCTGTTGGGGTTCACCAGCCGGTCTGCATTCTCCACTTAAAAGTCCTTTAAGTAAATCTCCTCCAAGCTGGCTGACCATGTTGGTGGTCTAAGCTGGGAGGCCTCTCCTTCGGGCCTTGTGCAGAGGCTCTGCTCACAGGCCCCTGCAGGAGGGGAAGGGATCCTTCCGTGGCCAGTGTGGTCCAGGGACTGCCTGAGGGGCATCTGAGGTGTGGATGGGCAGACATTGGTGGAATCCAGGAAGCTAACAGAGCCGTCGAGTGTTGGCTCCCCTGCAGGGTCTGGCCGCACCGAGGATGTGCAGGTATCACTCACAGCTTTGTATGTCTGCCAAGAACTCAGCTGAGTAGCATGAGTCCCAGACCCTCATGCTACCTGGAACATGGAAGGTCCCAGACCCTCCCCTCTGCGGACCACACTGAAGGTGGCCCAGGATCGTGTGAGCTCACACAAGGCAAAGGATGAGTACAGCGAATGCCCAGAGCAACTGATGCCTCTGTCTGATGAGGTCATATTTTCCCTTTTCTCTCCTGACCAGAGGAGAAGGGGTCCAGGCCTCTCTGGTCCAGCGGGCACTGCCTCAGAAGAGGGAGCACTCACACCTCTGGCCCCGCTAACCTGTTTGGCTGCCTTTTAAGCTTCAGCAATCACGTTGGAGGTCTGAAGCAGAGGGGAGCCACCACCCAGAAGGAGCTGCAGAGGAAGCAGAGGGTCACCAAGCCCGAGGCGCCGTCTGAGGAATTGCTGATGGCCATGGCCCTGTCCCGGTCCGAGATGGAGCAGGAGGCCGGGCCGGTGGCGCTCAGACTGGGAGGCGCCTTTTCTGAAAGGATAAGACTGGGAGCAGGTAGGCACGGCCCTGCTGGGGGAGGCTCTCCACACTGCCGCTGGCCGAAGGTGACTGCGGCTGGGCCTCAGGCTGTGTGGACAGCTCTGTCCTTGACCCTGTGCTTCGCTTCTGTTTACCTCCAGAAAAGAAGAGCCGCAAGAGGAAGGCACCTGTTTCCCCTCCCCTGTTGTTAGTCCAGGACCCAGAGACCACGGGGAGGCAGACGGAGGATCGGGTGGCCCAGCTCTTTGCCGAGGAGATGGAGCTGGCCTGCACGCCGCCGCTTCCCGCGAGCAGGATTCTAAAGGAAGAGCTGGGAAAGGCTGGCTGGTGTCTGCAGCCGTCTGGAAAGAAGCAGAACTTTCTATGGGAGGGCAGCGCCCTGACTGGGGCCTGGGCTCTGGAAGCCTTCTACACGGCAAGCCTGGTCCCTCCCATGGTGCCCCAGCGGCCCACCAAGGTGCGCCCTCCCCTCTGGGCATACTGGGGGCTCTGGGGAGAGGCCGGCAGCTCCAGGAAGGCAGCACTGGGCATCAACAGAAAGTCCAAAAAGGAAGGAAGGGTAGGAAGTCGGGGGGTGTTGGTTGTAGTGTGTTCTCTGCGTACGAATGGGTGGCTCTCCTGGGAGGAATCCACCTTTTCACGCATGTGTCCTGTCCCTGGAGAGTTTGACTGAAATGCAGTCCAGGACTCCACCCCCAGGGGGGCTGGTATAACCCATGTGTGGTGTGGCCCAGGAGCCAGACAAGCCTGATGCAGGTGTGCCTGGAGTCACTAAGCTTGAGGCTGTTTAGGGACCCTTCTGCAGGGCCCTCAGGGACCTTCTGCAGACACAGGAGCAGCAGGCATCGCATTCGCCGTGACAGAGAAGTCCGTTGATGGATGATGGGGGAGAAAAGCTTTGCCAGGTTGCTCTGGGCTGTGGCTGGCACTCTCAGGGACCCTCTGAGTGGTGGCTGCTGCAGTGGCCACGTGGTCACTCGGCTTTCTGACTTCTTTCAGGCTCTTACACAGGAGCCCATGCTCCCCCCAGTGCTGCCTGACCAGCCAGAGCTGGGAGTACAGACGTCACCTGCTCTCCCCAGTGCCCACCGCACAGGCCACGGCCCCAGGAGCCTGCCCGCCTCCGCCAGCCAGAGGGAGCACCAGGCCCTGCAGGACCTTGTGGAGCTGGCGGGAGAGGGGCTGGGTGCCACCCCATGGCCCTGCAGTGGGGGCCCCGCCAGCTCGGGCGGGGCAGCAGGTGAGACACGGGATGGGACACCTGGGCCAGCCCTGCCCTCCCGGCCTTCCTCCCACGTGGTTGCAGCCTCACTGGCTAGTCTTTGTGGCTTGGTGATAGCCGCTCAGACCTGAGGGTCCCTGGCTTGTCCCCAAAGGATGGGGAGAACACGGTCTCTGTAAGTGCTTCCCTTTTTTCTCAAAGATGAATGTTGCGTACGTGAGTCTGTCACTGTTATCTTAAACTTTAACCCAGGCTACAGCCCTTTTCCCAGAGCAAGTGACCTGTGGGCTGCGTCTGTCTGTTTCACCACCCATGTACCTCTGGGTAAGGGGTAAAAGCTGTCAACAGTTGGTTCACTTTCAGTGAAGAAGCCCTTGGGTGACCAGCATCTCCCGGGTGCCTGCGGGGTTGGCCGGCCAACAGGTGACATCTGGAGATGGATGTTGCCAGACGTGCTGTTCTTTTAACCTGTGAATCCTTCTCTCAGGAATCGATTTGTCGCCCACTGGCCTTCCACTGACTGGATTTATCCTGCCCTCCCAGGAGGAGCAGCTGGAGAGGGGCAGCCAAGCTTCGGTAAGGACCCAGCTTCTCCCAACGGGCTGGCCAGCCTGGCTCTGCTCCTCGCTCTGTGGTACTGGCCACTCACCGAGTCAGCTCGCTTCTGGCGTCCAGACCCTCACACAAGTCCACTGGACCCTCATCGGCCTTTGAGCTAAGCCAGGCGAGAGTCCACAGGAGTCTCCTGTCCACTCTAGGGTTCTGCCATGAGGCTTCTGTCCCTTGTGTCACTGCACTCTGGGGATACCACAGTAGCCAAGCCCTGGGAACCTGCTTTGTCCTGAGAGCCCACAGGCATCATGGCTTCTCTGTAAGGGCCTTCGATCCCTCAGCTTTCATTCATTTGTTCAGCACCTACTGTGCCCCTCTGACATCAGGTCCGACGTTGGCCTCCAGATGATAGTTCACGTTCTTTGTTGGTGACACAGGGTTGGAAGTTGTGTTCTCCTTAGAGCAGATGTGATCCTGTTAGTGTATCAGTATCAGCCAAACACTTCACACCACAGTCTACCTGAGGAGCGTGGCACACAGTCGGAGAAGGGACTCGGAGCCCTTGTCCGCCAGGTACCTGAACGGTGTGGGCTCAAGATCCTTGCCTGTCACATCGGGCCGCACACAGTGTTTGTGAAGCGCTTGGCCCAGAGTGCACCCTGCTCACTGCTCGGCAGCGGCTGACGCTGCACCTGCAGCTTTACTGCAGCCATCGCGGCTCCGCTTGCTCGTCCCGCCACATTTGGGGCCAGGGGATTCAGTGTAATGGAAAATTTGAGAAAGAAGCTAGAGTGCTGTCCCATATTGTCGAGAGCCTGGGGGTAATAACAGGTGGAACCCTGTGTGGGAGCCTGTGGACAGGACCTCAGGGCACCCCTCAGGTTGGAAAACTTGCTGTTAGACCAATCTGCTCCCCTCCTTCCAGCTCACTCTCAGTTTGCTGCTGGCTGACTTCAGAGCCATGGTCAATAACCCACAGCTGAGCGACATCCAGTTTCAGACAGACAGTGGGGAGGTGCTTTATGCCCACAAGTTCGTGCTGTATGCCCGGTGCCCCCTTCTCATGCAGTATGTGAGTATGTCCCCTCTCCCTCCTTCTCCCCTCCTCCCTCTCTCTTCCTCCCTCCCCGCTCTCTCTCTTCCCTTTCCTCCTCCCTCCCCCCCTTCTTCACTCCTCCCCCTCCCCTCTTCCCACCTTCCCCTCCCCCCCCTTCCCCACCCCTCCCACTCTGGCTGCTTTCTTATGTTCCCTTCCACTCTCCGCCAGGCTCTCCCTTTGTCCTCCCGCCCCCTTCACTCCCCTCTACACCCCCTCCCCCCAGCGCTCTGACCCTTCTCCCTCCATCTTCTCAGTTGTACTTCCCAGTTGTACTTCATGGAGACTTGTTTGAAGTCTTCCATGGAAGCAGTATGAGGAAATGAACTGAGGATTGGGAAACATCAGATTTCTTGATTCACTGACTAAAAATCCACTTTTCCCCAGAATTGTTTCCTTTTCCTCTGTTTCTGTAATTATAAAGTCATCCTCGACCTTTTGAAGGTTGAGCTGCTGACAAGCGTTTCTGCTCTGACCTGTGCCAACACATTTGACTTGAACAGTGCTGCGGGAATCCAGGAAACTGCTGTTGGCCTCTACCAGAAGGTTCTTGTGCCCCTCCTGTGTCTGTCAAGAGGGAAACGACTAGGTGCCTGAGCATCCATCATGGTCTGCTTTTGTAAACAGTGAAGTTTTATGGCCTGACCACAGAGTTCCTGCCCAGCAGACTGGCGCGACGCTGGCTAACGCTGGCGCCGAGGAAAGGCTGTGTGGAGGAGGGGGCCCCCTCTGTGTGGACCCAGGTCAGGCCTGTGAGGTCAGTAAACCTGTATTTTTCTTCGTTCTCAGGTGAACAGTGAAGGCTTCTTCGCTGCAGAGGATGACGACGTGAGGAGCCAGCGCGTGCTGCTGAGTGATGTGAACACCGAGGCCGCCCTCGCGCTCCTGCACTACCTCTACACTGCAGACCCCGGCGTGCCTCCCCGGCTGGCCCCCGGCCTGAGCGATCTGGCCCACAGGTCCGGATCGTTCTTCCCATTTACCTCACAGCATCTGACATTAACTGACGAGGAATAGCAGGTTGACGGCTCACAGGAGGGTCAGGGCTGAGCCCTTCCTGTACCTGTTAACCCCAGGTTTATGCTCAGTAGTGACCTTGCCCAGGACATATAGACTAGAAGTCTGGCCAGAGTGGACAATGGCAGGAGAGCTCAGCGGTGGTTGAGGATGGCTTCTGCCGAGTCACAGGGCTTTTAGCTGCCTGGGTGCTCCTGGGTGTGATGGGGGGGGGGTGTCCTTGGCTTCAGCTGCCCCGAGCCCCTGCCGCTCCTTGGTTGTTCACAAAAGCCTACAGTAGCCATCCTTTCCCAGGCCCCAGAAAACAATAGTGGATAGAATGCATAGTTTAACTCCTGTAGGTTTGCACCGTGTCCACAGAGCAGGTCAGGAGGGGCAGCAGGCAGCTCCACAAAACATGGTGAACTGTGTCCCTCCGAGGCCATGTCAGCCCTCAGGGGCATCCTTGGGAAAGGATCAGCCTGAGCCCCGGGGTTCTGAATGTCCCAGTTAGACCACCGACTGCTTGGGGACATGGCGGGTAGTGCCCCCGTTGGCCCAGCTGACCTGTAATGGGTTCACTCTTTTTGCTTTGCATTGGTCATGGAGCTCCAGGTGCCTCTCAGGACAGCTCAGCCATGCAGTGCCACCGGCTGCTGTCCTCTCCAGCTCAGCCTGACGCACCTTCCTGTTTGCACAGCAGAGTTCAAGATCCCCTCCTTCAAATCCCTGGGCCTCTTCTAGAGCTGAGTGGCCTGGGGGGCTGCTGGGTGTGAGCATGGGCCCCGTCCACAAGAGAGCAGGGAAGAGCCCAGGACTGAGTCCCAGCTGTCCTCCCCGTGACCCTCGCCTGTGCCAGGCCACCAGCCGCTGCCTCTGTGGGGTAGTGATGCATGGCGTTTCCTGTTGCAGGTTTGGTGTTAGTGAGCTTGTTCTTCTGTGTGAACAAGCACCTGACGTGATAGATTCAGAGGACAGACCACGAAAGGAGAAGGAAGACAAGGATTGTGAAAGCCGGGCAGAGAACTTCCAAGAACTCTTGAGATCCATGTGGGTGAAGGAAGAGGAAGAAGCAGAGGCTTCATTGAAATCTGAGGGCTGTAAAGAAGACACAGAAAAAGTGGATGAGGCAGAAATGGAAGAGATTTATGAATTTGCAGCCACTCAGCGCAAGCTGCTCCAGGGGGAAAGCAGTCCAGAGGTCAAGGAAGAAATGGACCAGTTCAGGGAGGATGGTTCTATGTCTGCACAAATCTCAGTAAGTGTTCAGGTTCATGAACAGCCGGAAAATGCAGAAGCGATGGAACTGTGCGGCCAGAGAAGAGATGAGGCCCCAGCCAAATGGAAGAGCATGAGACCTTCCACGCCCCTGCTACTCAAGGGCCAGCAAGCAGACAGAGAGAAAGCAGGGTCCCCAGAGGAAGCACTGGGGCATCCCGGCTCCTCTTGCCCTTCTCAGGGCCGTCAGGCAGGGAGAAAGGAAGATGCCCTTTGGTGCTCGGCTGCTGCTGCTGCAGAACAGCCATTTTCATCGACTCCCAGAAGATGCCCTGAACCGTTCCAGACAACGAGTGATTTCCAGGAAGGGAATGGCACGGGGGCAGAGAGCCCCTGTACCCCTGGCTGCGGGCAGGTGCCCCCATTGCGCCTGTGCCTGTCACAGCCCCCGCAAGGCAGGAGTCCCAGCCGGCCACACCCTCGCCCTCAGCACACAGGCAAGTCGCCCAGCAGAGCCTCTTGGGCGTCCTCCCAGGACTCACCGTCCAAGCAGAAGAGGGTCAGGAGCCTCCGCAAGCTACTTAAAGATCCAGGCGTCCAGAAAGGCGAAGGACGTGGTTCCTTGTTGGAGTGCAGAAATAAAGAGGCTCTGATCTCCCCAGAAAAATCTCCATCCATTGACCTAACCCAGTCAAATCCTGGTCATTTGAGCTCTAGATCTGAGAATACGCCATCCAGCAAGAACAGAGAAGATGAGATCATCCTTTTGTTAGACTCAGATGAAGAGCTGGAGCTAGAACAAACCAAGACAAAGTCTGTTCTTAATGGTCCCCTGGAAGAAAGGAAAGTGCTAGAAGTTAGCAGCAAGTCTTGTGAGCTGTTTTCTGTCATCGACGTCGATGCAGATCAGGACTCTTTCCAAAGCCCACCACGAAGAGAGGCGGGGCTGCTCTGTGGGGAGGAGAGGCCTCCAGGGAGCCGGGGCTCTGGTGAAGGCAGGGGGACCCATCGGCTGTTCTGTGACCCCGAGAGTGGCCCCGAAGAGGACAGCACCACAGACGCCTCATGGCTGGTGCCCGCCACCCCCCTGGCCAGCAGAAGCCGTGACTCTTCATCCCAGACCCAAATAACAGGCCTCAGGGCCAGGGCTTTAGTAGATCATGTGGTCCAGTTCAAGTCCTGGGCCCCCCTAGGAAACAGGGATGCACCTGAAGCTGCAAATAAGTGTTCAGTAACCAGGCCCCAGATGTCGCCACCATGCCTGGGCCCTGTCAGTGCAGGAAGTCCTGACAGCAGGGGCCCATGCAGTCCCCACCCCAGGCGCCTCCAGCCTTTTACTCCTCTGGCGCCCTGTCCCATCTCAGGGGGCCTGGCCGATAGCACAGAGCAGCTCCAGAAGTACTCACCCCCCGGGCCGAGCCTGCTGAATCGGGCTACCACGAGTGAGGTGGTGGAGGTGGAAGACAGCGAAGACGAGCGGGAGGAGGTGAACAGCAGCCCCCTGCTGGACAACGACCCTCCGATCCTAGTTGACGACTGCCGCTGGCATGTGGAGCCCCTCTCACCGATTCCAATTGACCAATTGAACCTCGAGCTGATGGGGCCCCTGAGCACCAGTAGTCCGAGCAGTGACGGCAGCTCCCCCGCCTTCCTAGGTACCACCCCCATCCGACAAAGCCGCACCAGCCAAAGAAAGGCTCGAGAGAAGTCCCCTCGGGCCAGCTCGCCTGGGAGCGGCAGGCTGAGTTTTCTGAACTCCGCTCTATGGGACGATTGGGATGGAGAACAGAAGCCTCCAGAGCTCCTTCCTCCGGCCCAGACACGGAGTCCTGATGAAGCTCAGAAATCAAAAGGGTTAGAGACTCCAAGTGAGTAGTGGGGCAGGGGTGGGGAGGGGGGGGAGTTGTCTCTTACACTGTGTTACACTAAGAGGCTGGAGGGGACAGTGAACACAGCGCAGGGCCAGCTGAGTCCCTCCCTCTCTTGGGCTGAGGGACAGCCGTCTTGCTTCCAGACATACCCCCTAGCCAGTTCCTGTCCTTGCCTGGATCCTCTGCCTCCCCTGGGCTCACGTGAAAAACCGCTCTTTGGACCCTGCCCGGGAATACTGAGCCAGCACTTCTGAAAGGCCGAGACGAGCACCTCAGGTGCACCTCAAAGTTGGCCAAGCATGGTTCCTCCCGAAGTGAAACAGCGCTGCCATTCTGAGCCCGCAGCTCCACTGCTGTGAGCACGCTCAGCAGAAGTGCAGTGAGGACCGAAACAGATACTTGTACATGTGTCCACGGCAGCATTGTTCACGGTGGCCACAGGGGGCAGATAACCCAGGTGCCCATCAGCTGACGCATGGATGAACAGGATGCGGTCCCGTCCGTGCAGTGGGCTATTAGCAGCCATAGAAAGGACCGAAGTACTGATACCTGTTAGGTCGTGGATGAACCTTGAACACACGATGTTCAGTGAGAGACCGGAGTCACAGGAGACCACATGCTGTGTAATTCCGTTCCTGTGACATGTCCAGAGTAGGCACCTCTGTCGGGACAGGAGCAGACGAGCAGTTGCCAGGAGCGGGGACAGGTGCTGGGTACGGAATTGCCCCTTGGGGGTGACGAAGACGCTTTGGAGCTAGATCGAGGTGGGGGCTGCACCACACTGGGAATGTACAAAGTGCCTCTGGATTGTTCACTTTAAAATTTCAAGTGAATTTTCATCTTACTGAAAAAAGACAACAGGTGGAGCAAGTGTGGGAGGGCCTTCCTCATCCACGAGCCCCGTGGAGGGATGCCTTTCCCAGCTCATTTCAGAGTCCCCCATGTCAGCCCCTCAGCTGCTGCCGCCCGCCCGTCCCCGTCCCCTGCCAGGCTGATCCCCCAGGGAGCCGGGAAGGGCAGAGTTGCACCAAGCAGTGGCTGGTAGCAGGGAAGTAGCCCGTGGGCAGAGCATCTGCGTGCAGCCTAGGATTTCGTTTCCCCCTAAAATCCGAGACCAACTGGGCCTCGTTGACCAGCACTCTCAGCACTGAGTGGGCTTCAGAATTGCCTGGAGAACTTCTTAAAACACACATGGCCAGGCCCCACCCCAGGGCTGCTTCAGGAGGTCTGGGGCTCGGCCAAGAATTTGCATTGCTAACCGGCCAGTTCCCAGGTGGTGCCGAGAGAACTACCGCAGGAGGCCTCAGACCAGGGGGGCCTTAGTCTGAATTCGAGGTGGGTTTCCACGAGGTGACCATTTTTCTCAAATTATATAAAGAATTTTGTGCTTTTTTTTTGGTCAGGAGACAGCCTGTTTTCAATGGAGTCTCAAAGGGCTCCGTGCTCATAAAAAGGATAACAACCAAATATATTCCTAAATTGTCCAGTCTGTCTTTAAAATACTGACTTCTTTTCTAAAATAACAGCTTTATGGAGCTATTATTTACACACCATAAAGTTTCCCCTTTAAAATGTATAATTCAGTGGTTTTTAGTACATTAACAGTGTTCTGCAGCTGTGGGGGGCTGGGTAAAACGGGAGGGAGGGTGGGAGGTGCAGTTTTCCAGTAACGGAATAAGTCATGGGAATATATTCCAAACAGCACAGGGAATACGGTCAGTAGGATGACAGTGCACGGTGACAGACGGAAGCTACGAAACAAAAATCAAACCGTTACCCCTCAGTGGTTTTAGTACATTAACAGTGTTCTGCAAGCATCACCACAAATCCTGGAACATTTTCATCATCCCATCAGCAACCACTCCTCCCCCTTCGCCCCAGCCCCTGGCAGCCATGAATCTGCTTTCCTCCCTGTTCACGCAGCATCGGCGTCGCATAAAGGCTGTGGCCCTAATCACGTGCCGTGTGATGCGTTCCGAGAAGACGCAATTCTAGCGTCAAACAGTGAGGGGGTGGACATACCGCTCTCATGGAGCCCAATGGTGGCTGGGCTTTCTTCAAACGCAGGATTTCTCTTGGTGATCCTCCTGAGCTCAGAAGAGGTAAATCCAGTTCCTTTGTGCTGAAACGTGTTTCTTTTGTTCTCTCTAGAAGGTGCTAATTGGAAGAACTTGCCCCCGAAAATGCCCATAACCCCAATGCCAAGGTATTCCATCATGGAGACCCCGGTATTAAAGAAAGAACTGGATAGGTGGGTGTTATTCTTGAAAACTTGCTCGTGAGTGGTCCACTCCCTCCTGTGTGTATCCAGGCTTTAGTGAGGCCGGAGATGAAAGACCTGCTATGGGGGCTCTGGTAGCAGGAGCCACTGGGGGGTGGAAGAGTGTGTGACATCTGGTAATCCCCAAATTACCTGTTCCCGGAGAAGCTAAGAGAGGAGAGAGACTCTGTCCGGTGACCCATCAGGTGATACGTCTCCATGTGCCATGTGCATGGAAATGGGACCCTTGCCCTTAGCACTCTGAATAAGGAGCTCTGATTTTTTACAAGAACATCAAACTATCACATCCCAATCAATGCTGCTGCTCACCTTGGGCACTGGTGTTATCACTACCATCATCACTCAGAACCTCTGAATATTCCATTCCATTCCATTCCATTCCAGAAGGGCCCTTCTGGAATATTCTTTAGAGTAAGCTCAGCTGGCCTGCAGAACAGACACCTCTGAATGCTCACAAAAGTTAGGCACTTGAGATTTCAGTTACACAAAGCCATTAATTTAACTTGTTGATGACTTTGCTCTTTGCTGAAGTTCACCTGTTTCCCCATTCAGGTTTGGGGTCCGCCCTCTACCCAAACGCCAGATGGTCCTGAAACTGAAGGAGATATTCCAGTATACTCACCAGACTCTGGAGTCAGACTCGGAGAATGAGAGCCAGTCCTCACATGTGCTCCTGGAGGCTCCGCACAGCCAGACTCACCCCAGCAAGACGTCCAAGGCCTCCAGGGCAGCTGGCCGTGCCCAGCTAGAGGCCGCTTCTGGCCCCCTTCTCCACAGGTCGAAGGGGTCCACTAAGACCAATCAAAAGACGCAGCCTGGTGGAAGCCTCTCTCCAATGAGCATGTCACTAGCCAGGGAGGAGCCTCCAGACCCTGATGGTGACGCCCAGCTCCCAGCCTCCCAGGAATCAGTGGCCTCCTCCATGGACAGCAGTGACAGCTCCTTTAGCTCACAAAGGTAACTGGGACGGAAGGAGAGGGGGACCAGTGGGTCCGTGAGCTGGCAGAAGCAAGGCCTAATGCCAACATTGACAAATGCCAGCAGCCTTCTGGATTTGAACTATAGGAAACCCACCTCAGGTCACAGGCAGTCATCTGTGAGCCTCCTGAGCAAACCTCTGAGGCTCCCATATCCTCGCCCTCAGGATGCTCTCGTGCGATGAGGGCTGGGCCTCCTGGTGGCACTTGTTGGTGCCAGCAGTGGATCTGACGAGGGTAGGGCCCTGCCCCAGCCGGCAGGGAGAGCAGCAGGATCACAGAGGCCTCAAGCTTGCTGCCAGCCTGGGAGGTCACCCATGCCGCCTGTCGGGCTCCGCAGGGGACACAGAAATGCTCTTTCCCTCAAAGAGACTCCTGCTCTCAGGGTACTGGAGAGGAGTGTCACCAAATGTTTTTGTCTGGTTCTTTGCAGTTCTTCCTTTGAGTTTGGAGCAGCCTTGGAGTCTGCAGGGGATGAGGAGGGTCAAGAGGAGGTTAGTGTATCACAGACGGCCGTCCAGGCGGCAGCCACAGAGGAGGCAGTGAGGCGCTACATCCGCTCCCAGCCGGCCCTCTACCGCAAGGCCCTGCTCTATCAGCCCTTTGAGCTGGCCGAGCTGCAGGCCGAGCTGAAGCAGCATGGCATCCACATGGCCCTGGGGAAGCTGCTGGATTTCCTGGATGCCCACTGTATCACCTTCACCACCTCTGCGGCCCGGAAGGAGAAGCTCCAGAGGAAGAGGCAGCGGCCCGTGGGCAAGAAGAAGGGGGACAGGGCCAGCAGGCCGGTCTGCCCCTCCCCGCCCGCGGCCATCAGCAGCCTGTGAGCAGTCAGTGAGCCAGGCCTCCACTGGCGTTTCTGGGCCTGGGGACCACATCAGCCCCCCGTGAAAGCGACTGCGGCACCGAGCTGGGTCGACTTTCCCCAACTCCATTTCCATGGCCTCCGGGCCCCAGGCCCTGCCCCTGTTGGTGCCCACAGTTTATCTCCTTTTGACCCTGCCATGGGCAGCTGTCAGCTAGCCAGGAGGAGGTCTGTCAGGCACAGGGTGCCCTCGCCCTGAGGTGGACATCCAGGACCAGCTTGCGCCTGCCCTGCCTGCCTTCTCCACACTCGGCTGTAATTCCTGCCTCCACCAGCAGACCAAGTGTCCACAAGCCTCTCACTACATGTCAGGTGCTCTGCTGGCCCAGACGTCCTGCCCAGACATCTGTCATTGTCACCAGCAGTCTCCAAACAGGGCAGTGCAGGCAGTGCATAGCCGGCTTTGCTGGGTAGGTGGGGGAAGCTGTCTCCAGCCTCAGAAGTGGTATGGAGTTCGGGTGAGGGCCAGAAAAGAGAAGTCTGTGAATGCCTTGTCTGTTTTAAATATAGTGCAGTCCATTTTATATGATGTGCAATAAAAACAAAAAGGCTTTATAAAAATCTCCCAGATACTGTAGAAGGATGAGGGAAGCTGGCTGGTAGCTCCACCCACAGCACCTCTGCTGCCCCCACCCCGCGTCTGCAGGGCTCTGTGCCTGTCCTTCACTGCAACGAGTGACCCAGGCCTGCTGGCTCACTTCTCTTTGGTTCTTAGATAAGAGGTGTGTGCATTTGTTCATCCACGACTGTGAGCCCATAAGCCCACACTCAGCCCCTACCAAGCAGTGAGCTCCAGCCCTCGATGCTCAAAGGGAGGCCTGGGGCCCCGCAGTGTCCCCCTGGGGGTTATTACAGATGCAGGCATGAGCCTGTCCAGACCCACTGAGTCAGAAGCTGCACTTTTCCAGGATGTGTTTGCAAAGCCTGCTCCGGCCTCTGCCCTGGGACCTCCGGGAAGAGGTCAGAAACAAGCTGGTGCTCCTGGTCATCAGCCAGACTCTGGCCTGCCCCGCGCTGCGTGTGAGGGCCAGTTCCAGGTGGCCCCCAGCGATAGCCTCCTGGAAGGGGGGATTGTGAGCTGGGCCTCAGGTGCGTGCAGCATTCAGGGAGGTCAGATGGGGCTTCTTGAACACATAGCACGTGTCCTGGTTTGTGACCCGGGGAAGAGGGTAAGCAGGGGTTAGAGAGGACAGTGGGTTCCAGGGCTCAGATCTCCCGGCTAACAGGTGAGACTGAAGATGGAATCGCCTGGTCTTGAAGGCACCACGTGTTTCTTACTTGCTCTTCTGACCTAGTAGGGACTCTTTGAGGGAAGTGAGGAGGATTTGGGGAAGCAGGAGACTCAGAGCCCTTACCTGGCTTCACTGACTCCTGCTGGAGACCCTGGACTCGGATGAGCAGCTTTGGATGCACTGCTCCGGGAGAGGCCTGGGAGCCTTCAGTCCTTGGAAGGCAGCCCAGAATGTCACTAGCTGCAGGAGGGGTTGAAACAGAAAAAAGCCTTGGGCCAGGGAAGGGGTGGGAGGAAAGGAGCCCTGGTGGTAGGCGGCCTTGGCCAGGTCGGGCTTCCCAGCAGGCCCCGAGGGGACCCCAGGAGTCGGCAGTCGGCCCGGCCAGGGCTTGAGCCCTGACCCTGACCACACTCATGGCAGTGAGGGCCCAGTACAAGTAGAGGACTGGCAGCCTCCAGAAGAACGCTGACCGGTCCGGAGAAGTCACACCTGACGGGAATGGGACAATCAGGCCCAGCCAACTGGCTGAGAAGGGAAACCGTGTGGAAGAGCAGCCCTATCCCGGCACCTGCCGCGGGGCTGGCGGAGCGGGGTGGCAGTGGGCCTCAAGCTGCACAGCGGACAGACGTTCCAGAAGCGCTGCCCTGCCTCGTGACGGGTAGTTAGCACAGGAGACAGTGTGCTGAGCCCCAGAGCTGTGGGAAACCGTGCAGTACCTCCACTTTGTTGTGCCGTGTCCAGACCTCCCAGGCCTGTCCTGCATCCCGTGACTGGCCCGGCCTGGCCATGGTCACGGCAGGCAATCAAGGAGAGCCACGGGGCTCCCAGGGGCCTGCACAGCCCCAGAGAGACCCTCGCCCCTACAGGCAGGAAGCCTCGGACTGTCTGAGTCAGGAAGGGCTGAGGCCACTGCCTGTCTGGCTGTCACACTTCTGGGTGGACAAAAAGCCCCAGAATGAGATCCCGCCCCAAACATACTGACACTGAGGAGAGTCAGGAGGAAAGCCTCCAGTGTGGTCCTCGTGGGCTGCCTGTTGGAGGTGGGGGGAGAGTCGCCGGGGGAGAGTCCTCGAGACCCCCCAGGAAGGAGGCTGCTTCCTCCTGTGCTCAGTAACCAACTTCCCTGAGCTGTGGAGGGGGGAGCAGAGCAGGCCTCTTGGCGTCTTTCACATGACGGATCCCCACCAGGCCCCTGCGGCTTCCAGCATCCTGTGGGCGGCCTGGTTTCAGACGCCTCCACTGTGCCTCACGGCCGAGGCTACAGCCGCCTGTGTGCGCTCTGGGGGCCTGGAGCCTCAGCAGGCTGCTCGAGAGAACAGCCGTGTGTCTCCCCCAGTGTCTGGCAAGTTGCTGGGGCCCTGAAGGCACTGCTGCAGGGGAGGCTGGGAGGGGGCACAGAAGGATGTCATTGCACGGAGCACTTCTGTAGTCACCTCAGTCCCCTCCGCTCCCCTCTCCTTCACCTCCACACAGCCCTTGAGAACAGGCTGCTGCAAACACACGTCCCCTCCCACCTCCCCTCATCCACCAGCTGCATTATCTGAACCCACCACCCTCCTGCTCTACAACCACGGATGGCTCCCAGCTGGCTGGCTTAGGAAAACTGGGGTACCCATCGCTTGGCTCCCACCTTGTCACCTGCTTCTCTCCATGGCCCCACAGTGACCTGCTCCCTGTCACTGGAGGATGTCCTGTACTTGTCCCCTGTTGTAATGTTTCTCCTGTTGTTCACTCTGGGCATGTCCTTCCCCCTCACCCCTTCTCGGTCAGGGCAGCCCACATGTTGAGGTCCACCTCAGGTGCCCAAGTGAATGGCCACACTCTGCCACCTCAGGGTGCACCTGACCTGCCTTTGGGACCACCTCGTGGGGTACAGCTGGGTGCCTGAGCAAGGAAAGCAAGGGGGGCACAGCCGCATCAGAGCAGGGGAGCCTGAGCGAGAAGACTGTTCCAGACCAAGAAGCCAGCCTCCTGCTGTGTGGCCTTGGGCAAGTCACCGAATGTCCCCGCAGCTAGCCTGGTTTCCCGCCCCCCCCCAAAAAGCAAAGGTCTGCTCATGGTGAGCCCCTTCTCCTCTGTGGCCTTGGCTGGACATCTGTCCTGAACATCAGTCAGATGTGCAGATCCTGGCGGCACCCCCTACCTCTCCGAATTACAGAGTGGTGACAAGGCCGAACCGGGGCAGCCGCGGCTCACTGATTTGTCTCAGAGGCTGTTGGCTTTTGAAATCAGACAGGAAGGAGGGTTGAGGTGGAGCCCTACACAGGAAGAGGTGAGGAGCCCCGGCTGCCGTGACAGCCAGTGGGCTTGGGGGACTGCAGGAGCCGGCGGGCAGGAACATCCCTGCGCTGCGCGGTCAGTGCCTCCCCATCCCTTCCAACAGGGCTTTGCTCCTGCCCCGCACAGAGCCTGAGGGCTCGGGGCCCGGCTGACTGGCCACAGAGAATCCCAGGACATCCTCACCACCACGCAGCTGCTTCCGTCCCCTGGAGCAGGGCTGAGCCCGGGAGCACCAGGATGGAGCACCCTCAGCCCCGCACTCTCGGCATTCCTAGGGCAATGAGGTCTGGGAGGTAAGTCAAGCCCAAGCTGCCTCAGTGCAGGATGGGGGAGGAAGAAGAGACCGCCGGCAGGAAGGACTGTGACTTTTGAGGCCTGAGCTGGTCTAGGGAGTGGCGGCTGGGTGGCACTGGGAAGGTGTCCCCATGGGGGCCGGCAGCTGCTGAGCAGGACTAGTTCACCATGTGGAATAAAGAAACACGCCCCAGGATACCTCACAATGGGCCAAAGGCCCAAAGCCCAGCTCCCCAGGTCCCAGAGATGGGCTAGGAAGAGCAGGAAGTAACCAGAAACTGCTGCAGGCAGAGTGAGGTTCAGCAGTGCAGCCCAGGGGTTAAACTTGGCATCAGCAGACCTGGGCTCCATTCCCGACATCACCTTCCACCTGTAAGATGGCAGTGACAATGCCAGACCTGCCCCAGGATCCTGAGGGCCAAGGAGACGGTGCAGGCAGGCTGGGGTCCAGCACTCAGTGCCGGGTGAGCAGCCCCCAGGGGTCTCCTCCAGCCACACCTTTGGGTGGAGATTAGGCTCATCATTCTGAGAGAGCTGGGAACCAGAGAGGCCTTCTCAGAAGAGGTGCCACAGAGCTGTGCCAGCAGTGGCTGCTGGCCATGGGGACCTCCCCGCAGTCAGGCTCCTCCCCACAGTCCTTCCCAGGGCTCCTCTGGGTCTCCTCCATGGGGGTAGTGCTTTCCCCAAGCTGGGGTCTCACTTGTGGCCGTCACAGACCACCCTGTGGCTGGTTGCCAGGTAGGGGTGCAGGCCAGGAGTCCCTTCTCTGTCCCACGGACAGTGCAGGTTCAGAAGGGCCATGTCCTGCGGCAAAGGTGCCACTTCCTCCCACCTCTAGGAAAGGCTGTTTGGTCTCAAGTGGTCCCCGGCCACAGTGCTGAGCTACCTCAAGGGGGCTGAGAACTGAACTCTTGAGCCCCGGGAGGTGGGGAGGGGGCAGGGAGTCGGGAGCCAGGAGCATCCGAGAGGCGCTGTGGCCTGAGGTGAGGACGGCCAGGCCGGTCAGCGCTGCGGGGCCCGTACGGCTACCAAGTGCGGGTGGGCAGAGAGAGGCGCGCTGTTGCACAGGCCCCTGGGAGGGCAGCACAGAACAAGACAGGACCTGTTGGCAAAGACGGTGAGTTAAATCAGGACCTGTGTCTTCTCAGGGATGAGGCATGAGCTCAGCTGTGGATCCGAGCTCAGACAGGGTCCGAGCGACACCAACACGAGCAAGCACAGGTCCTCGGCTGCATCCTTCCCCGTGGATGATGCTCTGGAGGATGCAGGGGCGTGGGGAAGCCTGCTCCAGGGCGGGTGGCTGTGGTCCCCAGTCGTCTGGCTGGCTGGCCCTGCCCACCACAGCTCAGAACAACTGTGGCCTTCAGATCCCCCAGGGCAGCCCGAGGCCACCTGCCTGTCTTCCCCTCTTTAAGCGGGTTGCAGGGCCTCCTCCCGCTCTCACTGAAGGCTGTCCACACCGGGCACAGACTGTCCCTGGTGGCACGTGTGGCACTCAGGCCTGTGGCAGGTTCCACCCTGCAGGGGCGGCCCTGTTCACAGGGCCTGTGCACACAAGTGGCCATGCAGCTGTCCCATGGGGGGAGCACCCTCAGTGGCCTCTGAGGTTGGCCCTGGGTTTTAAAATCTAAGTATATCCCATGTAATACTTGGGATATACTTATACTGAAAGGATTGTGGTTTATCTGAAATTTAAATTTAGCTTAATTTGCTAAACCTGGCAACCCTAGCCCTGAGGTCAGCAGGGCAAGACAGATGAGTGTCTGACCCAGAGGAATGTTGGCTCCCAACACTGAGAGGGAGACGGGACTGCAAGGTGGAGGCAGGGGAGAGCTCACCTGTCCCACCTTCTCAGACACGACTCAGCCCTGCCTCCTCTCCCCTTTAAAATATACACATGTTGACCAGGTGCCTGGGTGGCTCAGTCGGTTAGGCGTCTGACTCATGATTTTGGCTCAGGTCATGATCTTGAGGTTTGTAAGTTCAAGTCCCGCATCAGGCTGCATCAGGCTTCGTGCTGACAGTGAGGCCTCCTTGGGATCCTCTGTCTCACCCCTCTCTCTCTGCCCCTGCCCCATTCATGCTCGCTCTCTCTCAAAATAAATAACCTTTAACAAATTTATTTAAAAATATATACATGTTGAGGCTCTACCTCACACCAAATAAACCTCTAGATGGTTGTGCTAAGTAGTGGCTTTTTAAAAACATTTCTCCCTAGAACGACCATATGATTCAGCAATTCCACTGCTGAGTATACACACCCGAAGGAATGGAAAGCAGGGACCTGAACAGGCCTATGTACACCTGTGTTCACAGCAGCATTTATTCACAAGAGGAAAAAGGTGGAAACAACCCAAATGTCCATCAATGGATGAATGAATAAACAAAAGGTGGTCTAACTACAAAAATGGAATATGACTTAGCCTTAAAAAGGAATGACATTTTTATATGTTACAACAAGATGAACCTGGAAAACAGACACAAAAGGGAAAATAGTGTATGAGGTCCCTAGAGGAGTCAGATTCATAGTGACAGAAAGTGGAAGGCTGGGTGCCAGGGGCTGGGAGGAGGGGAACTGGGAGTTCGCGCTTCAATAGGGGCAGGTTTCCCATTTGGGGGACAAAGCATTCTAGAGGTAGATGGTGGTGATGCTTTCACAGATTGTAAATGTATTTAAGGGCACTGAATTATATCCTTTAAAAATGGTTTCAATGGTAACTTTCATGCAGTGTATATTTTAACACACACACACACACACACAAACACAAAATAGTGCTCTAGACCCTGTTCAGCCAGGGCTGAGAAGCACTGAGCCCAGCCTTTCTTCCGCACGGTCCCCTCATGCCCCTAGCCACCACCATACCCCCAGGAGCAGCAGGGTGTCACCTGGGGGTGTACCAAGACAAACAAGGACAGGAAGCCATGTCTGCCCCTGGGCTGTGCCCTGACAGCGCCCAACCCAACAGCGGGACAAGGCCCTACCATCCTGGCCTCACGCGCTAAGAGGCTGCAGTCACACCGCTTCACCTTGGTTTACACACGTTTGGAGATTTAGAGAGCTGCTGGCATCACTTTTCTTTCAATAGAAGTATAACTTACAGACAGCAAAGTGAGCTCAGTGGTTTTTACATATGTAGACACCTGTGTATCTGTATCAATCGGTGATCATATTGATCACCCAGATCAACGTATCTAAGTTTCCAGTACCCTACGAGGCTCCCGCGTGCCTCCACCCAGTCAAAATTGCCCCCAAGGGTAATTACTGTTCTGACTTCTATCATGTCAGATTGGTTGGGCCTGACATTAAACGGGGTATGTTCTCTTTGGGGTGCCATTTTGTTCACTCAACGTGTCTGCGAGAGTCAGCCACTTGAGTCTGTCAGCAGTTCTTTCACTATCATTACTACATAGGACTTGACTGTCTGAATATTACAAAAAATTTTTTCACTCTATTATTGATGGATATTGGCTGTTTCTACTTTTTTTTTGGACACTATGAATAAAGCTGCTAGAACATTCTGATACTGTGTTTTGATGGATATAAACACTTGTTTCTGTTAGGTGTACATGTGTGGGTCTGTTTCAGGACCCTCTATGTACTTGATGACCTGCCCCTGTGCTATTACCTTCTACAGCTCTACACTAAGCCTTGATGTTGGGTAGTAGACATCTTCTAGATTTGTTCTTCTTTTTCAAAATAATTTTGCCTAGTCCAGGGTCTTTTGCTTTACACATATGTTTCAGAATCAGCTTACCAATTTCTACCCTCCCCTCCTTACCCAAAAAAGCTTGCTGGAATTTTGGTTACCATGTCGTTCAATTTATAGATCAATTTGGGAAGAATTGGCATTTTTTTAGTAGTAAGTTTCCAATTCATGAACATGGTAAATCCCTCTTTTATTTCTTTTAAAATTTCTCTTAGTATTGTTTTATAGTTTTCTGTGTGGAGGTCTTGCAAATTTTTTGCTAAATTTAACCCTAGATATTTGCTTTTTAAATTTTAATGTTCATTTATTTCTGAGAGAGAAAGAGACAGAGCACGAGCAGGGGAGGGGCAGAGAGAGAGGGAGACACAGAATCCGAAGCAGCTCCAGGCTCTGAGCTGTCCACACAGAGCCTGATGCAGGGCTCAAACTTGTAAGCTGTGAGATCATGACCCGAGCCAAAGCCGTACGCCCAACTGACTGAGCCACCCAAGCGCCCCTTGATATTTGCTTTTTAAATATTTCAAATCTTACTTTCAATTTCATTGTTGCTAACAAGCAGGAATATATATGATTTTTTTTAACTGATCTTGTGTTCAGAAACCTTGTTAAGTTCATGTATTAGTTCTAATCAGTTGTAGATTCTTTTGGATTTTCAATGTCATATCAACTGTGGATAGTGAAAGTGTTTGGGTTTTTTTTCCCTTTTCCAATCCTGAAACCTTTTACTCTTTCATTTTCCCTACTGCACTGGCACCTCACTGAAAAACCACCAGGGCACCTAGGTGGCTCAGTTGACTGAGCCTATGACTCTTAATTTTGGCTCAGGTCATGACCCCAGGGTTGTGAGATCCAGCCCTGTGTTTGGGCTCCGTGCTCAGCATGGAGCCTGCTTAAGATTCTGTCTCACATTCCCTCTGCCCCTCTGGCTCTGTCCCTCTCCCCCACTTGATCTCTCTTTAAAATTAAAAATTTTTTAAAAATTTAATGCTATTTTTTCACAGGCTAGTATTTTGTTCCTAGGCTCTATATTATGTTCTAATGACTTCTGTATCTATTCTTGTGCTAGCCCACCCTGTTTTACATGGAAAATAGTATTCAAGAACCTAAGGGTGATCCAGTATTAGAAAATCTCTTAGTGTAGCTCACAGATTAAAGGAGAGAATGGATATGAATCCATCATGTCACTCTCTCCAGTGGCTTCCCACCACACTTAGTACAAATCCAAGAGCCTTTTAACAGTGGGTGGGTCTCAACAGTCCTCGGACCTTGTCTTGTGAGCCCCCTTCCCCATTCAGTGTGCTCCAACAACTCTGGCTTTTCTGCCCCAGTAATGCGCAGGGCATCTGTACTTGCTCTTCCCCTAGCTCTTTGCATCATTAACTCTTTCTCACTCTTTAGATCTCTGCTCCTAAGTAGCCTTCTCACAGAGGCCTTCTCTGGCACCGTGATAGCCAACCCGCTCCTCCACGCACACTGTGCTTTCATTCACCGCACTAGTCACCGTCAGAGCGGCCTCACTCATTCACCGGGTTACTTGACTGTCGTGTGCCCACCCCAACCACACTCACAGGGTCAGGACTTGTCTAACTTGTTTCCTTCACATCCCCCATCGCCCACAGGCCACAACGGGGCCTCAATAAATACCTGTTGATTCAATGACTGAATGGAAATAAATCATGTGGTTGTGTCAATACTGCTCAGAGGTATTTGCTAATTTAACAGACATGCCTAATTTTTTTTTAATGTGGGGATGTACAAAGGGCGTCGGGGTGGCTCAGTCCGTTGAGCGTCCAACTTTGGCTCAGGTAATGATTTCACGGCTCATGAGTTTGAGCCTCAAATTGGCCTCTATGCTGACAGCTCAGAGCCTGGAGCCTGCTTTGGATTCTCTCTCTCTCTGCCCCTTCCCTGTGCATGCTGTCTCTCAAAAATAAAAATGAAAAAAAAATTTTTAATTAAAAAAATATATAGGGACGTACTATAAGAGGCAGGAGATTATCCAGCACAAAGGCTGACATCGGTGAAGCCTTGGTTTCTCTCGCAACTCAGCTGCTCCCCAGCTGTGTAGCCCCGAGCAAGTCACTTAACCTCTCCGAGCCTCAATGTCCTCATCCATAAAATGGGAGCCATAACAATTTAATGAGAGTTGTTATAACACGGGAAATGATGTAAGTACAATGCTTAACAGAACATCTGGAGCACAGTAAGCCTTCAGGGAGCAATCATGTGATGTTATCTGAATGCTGCTAGGAAACAAGGAAGTGAAGGAATCTTTTCCAGGAGGAGAGTACTACTTAGACACTGTCACAAACATGAGGGCTGCCGGCTTGGGCTCAAACCACCCCAGGGAGTCAGACAAGCACGCCCAGTGTGACTCCCATCACTCACCACCGCATGGGAGAGGTATAGAGGGTCTGACCCATTTGGGAAGACTTGTTCAATTGTGGAGATTTTAGTAAAGAGATGAAATTATTCGTACTGCAGTAAGAATTCACTGAGAGATGAAGGGAAGTAATGTGAATACTTAATATGTTGATGGGATAGGAGACAAAATGCACAAAGACAGTCTTCTCAGTGACACCCACACTGATCTATCCACGTTAACGAGACTTCAGTCAAAGCCACATCTGGTTTCTTTTCCCCCTTGGAGTTGACGCTAAGAAGAACAAAGGAGGGAATCCGAAGAAGCAGAAGGAGCGAGGCCTCACCCTGGCCTCTTAACTAACGCTCCCAGACCCCCTCTGCTGGGCTGGACACCCAGCCTGGCCTGAAGTCACGGCACTACTTAACACCCTGGCAGCACTCAGACGCGACTGGAAAACGCTTATTCCACTTGTAAAGCTCCTTTTAGCATCTTCTAGGTAAAAAGGTTCATCCTGAGTTAAAGTGCCAGGAAAGCCCAGTGCAGGTGCAAGGTCAAGGAGGATGTCGGATCCTTGGGGCTAGAGCCAGGTGACCCCTCCTAATTGATGATCAGTGAGACCCAGGGACCCGTTAAGCTGGAAGACGCAGGACCAGACCCATTTCAGCGAGTGGCTGGCATCCGGAGCAGTAGGCATGACCTCTGCTCAGCCCTGTGTCCTGTTTTCTCTCCTAGACCTTTGGACAAGGGATGGCCGACCCCCACCCCCTGAGTTTGCGGGGCCCTGCCAGAGGAGCTGCCGTGGGCCAGACATCCCGCCCGCTGCAGGTGAGGAGGTGGCCGGGGTGCCCTGAGGGTCCTCGAGCTTCTGCCTTAGCTGAGGGAGGGACACTGGGGCGGCCAGCCTCGGCCACGGGAGCCACTCTTAGCCTCAGGAAAAGGGACGTGAGCAGGTGGTGCCCGGGCATGGCTCCGCCTCTCGGTGGCCCCACGCTGCAGTGCCCAGCAGAAAGCGGTGCTGCTGGGGTCAGGAGTCCCCAGGAGAGCAGGGAGACTGGCGGCACCAACCCTGTAGGAGTCTGGGCAAACGCACCATGACGCGGACCCACCGCTGCAGTGCCTGCCGCGCCAGAGCTTTCGCTGTGCTCAGAGCCCCTGAGGCCCCCCACCCCCACCCCTCCCCTCCTGGCAACCACAGATGATCTTCTCCCTTTCTCCACAGTTTTGCCTTTTCCAGAGGGTCACAGAGCTGGGGTCATAGAGCACGCGGCCTTTCCAGATTGACCTCTTTCATTCTCTCCTTCTTGGGAGCAGACTTGCTCTTAACCCCGTCTCCATTTCCAGGTCACAAATGAGGACAGCACAGCACGAGGAGCTCAGGCGGCCTGCCCGGTGCCACAAAGCCAGTAAGTGGTGGAGCTCAGGCTCCAGCCTGGGCCCGGTTCTTATCCACAGAGCCCCCCATGTGAGCCATGCTCCTGGCGTCAGGGATGATGCTCACTGTCCAGGAACGAACAGCCCTTCCCAGCCCTTCCTGGAGGCCAGATGGAGACGACCACCAGCAGCCTGGGGAAGGACAGAGAGTGGGTCCCTCCCCATCCCTGGAGGCTCACTCACCTGTCCTAGGCCAGGGTGATGATGCGGCACAAGGCACCTCAGGCCCTTCTCTTCACAGCTCCTGGCAGCAATCCCGGACCCCATGAGGAAGCAGGAGGTGCGGACCGGTGGGGAGGCAGGCCCGGGCCGAGGCCCCGGCTCCCCCGCTGGGCAGGTGAAAGCCCTCATGGACCTGCTGGCCGGGAAGAGCAGTCAGGGCTCCCAGGCCCCACAGCCCCTGGACGGGGCGCCACAGTCCCCCCTGGGGCCTCACAGTGATGGTAGGCAGATGGAGGGTATCCCTGGGCCCTCCCCCTCCCCCCTGCCCTCCCCTCCCCAGCCCTCCCCAGCCCTCCTCTTCGGCCTCTGTCCCATAGATTCGAGGATACAGAAGTGCCGGGAGGCTCTGCTGAACAGGGTGAAAGGCAGCCCGGAGCTGGGCGGCCCCTCGCCCAGGCTGACCAGTCTCCTGCTGCTGGAGGGGCTGACGGACCTGCAGCTGAGGGAACACGACTTCACACAGGTGGAGACCACACGTGGGGGCTGGCCCACGGCCAGGACCATCACCCTGGACAGACTCTTCCTGCCTCTGTCTCGGGTGTCCATCCCCCCCCGCATCTCCATCACCATTGGGGTAGCTGGCGTGGGTAAGACCACCCTGGTGAGGAACTTTGTCCAGCTCTGGGCCCGGGGACAGGTTGGCAAGGACTTCTCCCTGGTGCTCCCTTTGACCTTCCGAGATCTCAACACCCACGAGAAGCTGTCAGCAGACAGACTCGTCCGCTCCGTCTTCCCGCACATCGGGGAGTCTGGGCTGGCGGCCGCAGCCCCACCCAAAACCCTCCTGATTCTGGACGGCCTGGACGAGTGTAAGACAACTCTGGACTTCTCCAACACCGCGGCCTGCACGGACCCCAGGAAGGAGATGCAGGTGGACCATCTGGTCACCAACATCATCCGGGGCAACCTCTTCCCGGAAGTTTCTGTCTGGGTCACTTCCCGCCCTAGCATGGCCGGCCAGATCCCAGGGGGCCTGGTAGACCGGATGACAGAGATCCGGGGCTTTGATGAGGGGGAGATCCAGGCGTGTTTGGAGGAGATGTTCCCCGAGGACCACACCCTCTCCGACTGGGTCCTGAGGCAGGTGCAGGCAGACAGGGCGCTGTACCTGATGTGCACGGTCCCAGCCTTCTGCCAGCTTGCAGGGTCGGCACTGGGTCACCTGCGCCACAGCAGGCCGGGGCCCCAGGACTCCGGGCAGTGGACTCCGAGGACCCTGTGCGAGCTTTACGCTTGGTACTTCAGGATGGCCCTCGGCGGGGATGGGCAGGAGAAGGGCAAGGCGAGCCCTCGCATCGAGCAGGCGGCCCACAGCAGCCGCAAGGTGGTGGGCACGCTGGGTCGGCTGGCCTTCCACGGGCTGGTCAGGAAGAAGTACGTGTTCTACGAGCAGGACCTGAAGGCGTTCGGCGTGGACCTCGCTCTGCTGCAGGGCGGCCTGCGCGGCTGCCTCCTGCAGCGGGAAGAGACGCTGGCCGCGCTGCCGGCCTACTGCTTCCTGCACCTGTCCCTGCAGGAGTTTCTGGCCGCCGCGTATTACTATGGGGCCGCCAAGCGGGCTATCTTCGACCTCTTCACCGAGGGTGGCGTGTCCTGGCCCCGCCTCGGCTTCCTCACGCACTTCAGGAGCGCGGCCCAGCGGGCCATGCAGGCCGAGGACGGGCGGCTGGACGTGTTCCTGCGCTTCCTCTCAGGGCTCCTGTCCCCCAGGGTCAACGCCCTGCTGGCAGGCTCCCTGACGGTGCAGGGTGAGCACCGGGGCTACCGGGCCCAGGCGGCCGAGCTCCTGCAGGGCTGCCTGGTCCCCGACGCGGCGGTGTGCGCCCGCGCCGTCAACGTCCTGCACTGCCTGCACGAGCTGCAGCACACGGAGCTGGCCCGCGGTGTGGAGGAGGCCATGCGGAGCGGGGGCCTGGCGGGGCTGACCGGCCCCCGGCACCACGCGGCCCTGGCCTACCTCCTTCAGGTGTCAGATGCCTGCGCCCAGGAGGCCAACCTGTCCCTGTGCCTCAGCAAGGGCGTCCTCCAGAGCCTGCTGCCCCAGCTGCTCTACTGCCGGAGCCTGAGGTGGGCGCCGCGGGGGGGCGGCTCTGCACGGTGCAGGGAGGAGACAGCGGGGGCCTGGAAGGCTGTTCCCCTCCACCACGCCCCCCCACCCCCCACATCGGCATCCTGGGGGCCGTCTGAAGGGACACAACATGGTTGGCTTAAGGCAGCAGAAACTTGTTGTCACAGCTCTGGAGACCACAGTCCAAGTTCAAGGTGTCAGCAGGCCTGAGCCCCCTCTGAAGCCTTCCCGCCTCACTAGCTGGTGCTGTTTATTGGCAGTCCTCAGCCTGTAGACGCATCAATCCAATCTGTGTGGCCACACGGACGCCTCCTCCGTGTCACTGTCTCCATGTGGTGTTCCCTCTGATAAGGACACCAGTCCGCTTCGCTTACAGACAGGCCTGCCCTCCTCAGAATGGCCTCATCTTAACTTGTTACATCTGCAAGGGTCCTATTTCCAAACCGGGTCATGTGCTTGAGGCACTGGGGTGGTGGGGATGGTCAGAACACCAACAGAGCTTTCTGGGGAACGCAATTCAACCTACAGCACTCTGAACCATCCCCCTGCTGACAGAGGCCTCACTCACTCACTCCCCCCCACCGCTGTCCTCCAACCTGCTCCAGGCCTTAGCGTAAGACCAGGGCCCGTCAGGACCCGAGAGCAGCTGCCACATCTTAGGAGGAGGAGAGCTAGCAGTCCATGTCCCGCAGACTCACGTGGTGTGCGGGGCTGCCGGGGAGACGCCCCTCTGGGCAGGGATCCTGGGGTTCACAACACTAGCCTCCCAGCGCCCCTCCCAGGAAAACCCCGAGCCCAGCGGGTGTACTAGTACGGGTGTGTGAGCTGCCAAGTGGCGGGGGCTGCATGGCCATGGGAACGGCAGACAGGGAAGGGATGCCAGCCTGGGTGTGTGTGCTGCCCTGAGGGCAGCCCTTTGCCAGGGCCTAATTCCACCTGCCTGTGGGCGGTGGTCCCTCTCATTACCGCCCTGCCTCCTGCAGGCTGGACAACAACCAGTTCCAGGACCCCGTGATGGAGCTGCTGGGCAGTGTGCTGAGTGGGAAGGACTGTCGCATTCAGAGGATCAGGTAATGCTGACCTGGGAGACCCCACCCGGGGTGCCCACCTGTTGCGAAGGGTCCGGGGCTATTTTCCCATCTTCCTCTCTGCTCAACTGGCCAGAGGTGCTTGCAAGGGGGAGTGCCTTAGAAACATATGGCTGCTTGTTTCTGCCCATTCCAGAAAGTTCCAGAGGCTGAGGTACCTCACCTGTAAGAAGAGGGAAAGGATATGGTGAGGGTCAGGTGCTATCATGGACATGGAAGCATTTCTCCAGATACTCTATGTTCTGTGCTTCCAGGCCCAGTGTTCTCTAAGCTCCTCTCAATCTTTGCCCCCAAAACAGTATTATAGGCACAGGACTGTGTCTTTAAATAAAATTAGAAATTTTTTAATTTAAAATTTCAATTTGAACTTTAATTTAAACCATGCAAACAAATAAAATTTAAACATTGCATCTTTAACGTTGTGATGCAACGGAAGCCTATGTGCTGACGGTAAAATAGAATTTTTCATGCTTGTGAAATCTCTCCTGTGATCACATTTCCAAGCCTGATCACACTTCCTTTTTTTTTTAATTTTTTAAAAAAAATTTATTTATTTCTGAGAGACAGACACACAGAGTGAGTAGGGGAGGGTCAGAGTGAGAGGGAGACACAGAATCTGAAACAGGCTCCAGGCTAGCTGCCAGCACAAGGCCTGACGCGGGGCTCGAACCCATGAACCTTGAGATCATGACCTGAGCCAAAGTCAGACGCTTAGCCGACTGAGCCACCCAGGTGCCCCAATCTGATCACATTTCTAAGTCTCAATAACACTGAGTAGTGGGCTCGTGACCTGCGGGTGGTTAGAACTAGGGAGAGCAGTTTGGAGAATAGCATCCAGAGAGCAATTCTTCATCCTCACATAAGCCTCCCTCTTGGTTCTGGAATAAACTGAGAAAACAAAAACAAACATGGACTGAGTCAGGAGCAAAAAGAAGTCACAGAGGACAGTCGTGAGTGGTGGGCTCTGTGTGACCCTGTAATAGTCCTCTCTGTGCCGAAAGAGGGTAAAAATGGGGGTTAAAATGGTATCTCTGAGTCCCCGGGACTCCCCTCAGGTTTAATGATTCATTAGAAGGACTCACAGAACTCAGAAGAGCTACTATCCCTGCACTTGTGGTTCATTACATCAAAAGGATATAGATTAAAATGTGCAGAGGGAGCGGCGCCTGGGTGGCTCAGTTGGTGGGGTGTCCGACTTCGGCTCAGATCACGCTCTCGCAGTTCATGGGTTGGAGACCCACATCAGGCTCTGTGCTAACAGCTCAGAGCCAGGAGCCTGCTTTGGGTTCTGTGTGTGTGTCTTTCTCTCTCTCTCAAATAAACAAACATTAAAAATAAATAAATGAAATGTGCAGAAGGAAGGGTACATGAGGCGCCCTGGAGAGACCGAGCAAGCTTTCTGTTGTCCTTCTGGCGTGGTGGTACAGACAGCGCCTGCCTCCCCAGCCACCATGCACAACAGCACACTCGAAGTGTCCCAACCAGGGAGCCTCACCCGGGCAGGGGCCAGAGATTGTACCAGAGGTGGGTCATGGGAAGCCCCTCCAGGAGTAGGGAGATCAACCTGCTATTGCACCACCCAAAGCCCCCAGGTAAACAGACAACTTATCAGGCAGGACATTCCAAGTGTTTGTTTGTTCGAGGTCACCTCTCAGGAACTGGGTTCAAGGTTAACCCTTTCCTGCATACTCCCCTTTCTGGTTGTTGAAGCAGCTTCAGTGGGTTAATTCAAGCTACGTGCTGAGGACGGCAAGCCAGGCACAGAGGAAGCACCGTGCGAGGGCCAGCTATTATTAACAGGATTACCTTTGTCTTGCAGCCAGAGATATAAATGCAAGTCCTTTGAAAGAAACACAATAACATTAATTAATTTCATTAATATTTTTCCTTCATGGGAGCTTTTAGTAAAATAGTCCAACTTCCAGTGTTTTTGCATAAAGGAATCTGGATAGCGTTCAGAAAATATTCTGAACAAAAGCCAAAATTTTTTTCTATGGCCACGTGCTCTTCTTCCTCTCTCTATAGATGGTCCTCAGGACCACATCCTCATCTGAAAAGGCACCCTTCAGAAAACACACATGGCTCATGAGATATTACTTATAAAATGTTACAAAAGTCCTGGGCAGAGAAGGGACGGAGGCTCTCTAGAACTTGAGGACACTTACGTAGAGGGTGGTCTGGATGAATGGTCTTCTTTTTATCTTTTTAATGTTTTACTTATTTCTGAGACAGAGACAACATGAGCAGGGGAGGGGCAGAGAGAGAGAGGGAGACACAGAATCTGAAGCAGGCTCCAGGCTCTGAGCTGTCAGCACAGAGTCCGAGATGGGGCTCGAACCCACAAACCACGAGATCATGACCTGAACTGAAGTCGGACACTTAACTGACTGAGCCACCCAGGTGCCCCCAGATGAATGGTCTTCAAACTCTAAGCAACAGAACCTTTTTAAAAAGTGACCTATCAGGCAGAATCCCTGTAAAACATAGGCAACTGGGGAGTTGCTGGACTGAAAGAGGAGACGGGGAGGCCCAGAGCCTAGGCACTTGGTGCCCCATCAGCCTCTGGGGCTCCTGAAGCTTTTCTGAGGAACACTGTGGGGGCCCCTTCAGAGACAGCTTGAAAAGCAGTGGGGATTCTAACTGTATCCCAGGGGGACCCTCTGCAGTTTTCAATGCCTAAGAAACTGTAAAGAACTCCCAACAGGTACTATTTCTGAAACTGGGTCCATGAAGCAACATTAAGTATATCCACCAGCTTATTCCTGGAATCACCCTTTCAGGGCAGAGAAAAGTGCTCTTTTTTACTTTTTTTTTTTTTAATGTTTATTTATTTATTTATTTATTTTGAAAGAGAGAGAGAGAGACAGAGAGACAGAGAGACGGAGACAGAACACAAGCAGGGGAGGGGCAGAGAAAGGGAGAACAGAATCTGAAGCAGCTTCCAGGCTCTGAGCTGTCAGCTTAGAACCTGACACAGGGCTCAAACTCATGAACGTAAGATCATGACCTAAGCTGAAGTTGGACGCTTAACTAACTAAGCCACCCAGGTACCCGTTTCTGTTTTACTCTGAGGTTAATTCTAGAGTAAGTACCATTTTCCTTTCATGCGTTAGAAAAGGGCAGGTGCCAGTGGTGAGCTAGAACTAAGAATTCAGCCACAGTTCATGAGAGCAGATTATTAAAGTTTTAGGAATTTTTTCAAGCTGGGACTGCTTGAAATTGGCCATGGCCAAAGTATTTACACCATGGAAATTGGCCAGCGCTACAAATCAATATTTTTGTATTTTTTCCAGCACACCACTGCCTGGGATCTTTGCGGGAAATTTCTATAACTGCCCATGCTCTTTGCTGCACTGTTTGCGTAGAAGCTGTTGTACTGGATTCTGGCCAGACTTTGCCCTGGGAGTCTTTGCCAGTGTGAGGGTCTGTCCCCTGCCCTCTGGCCTTACCTTGCTTGGCTCAGAGGATTTCCTGGGCCAGGTATTTCTGTTCCAGGGCTCACTTCATCTCCACCTGTGTCCAGGCCCTCATGATGCTGGTGAAACAGGGAGGTTTGGGTCACAAGCCTGGTATTGACGAAGAGCCCATGAGATTTGTAGACCTGCAATAACCACTCCTCTCCTTCTCCTTGGGCAGCTTGGCTGAGAACCAGATCAGTAACAAAGGGGCCAAAGCTCTGGCCAGATCCCTCCTGGTCAACAGAAGTCTGATTGCTCTGGAGTAAGTAGGACACCAAAGGCCAACCTTCCACCACTGGGACAGGGAGAGCTTACCAGCCATTGTGTGAAGTCCCCTAGACAACACTCTCCCCTGGGTGGGTTGGAAGGATAGCCGAGTGAGCAAATTCCTAGCTCCTCATCAGCTATTGGGACCAGCCCAGGGAGGCCCACCAGAATTTTGGCTCTAAAGTTGGTATGATTCTCCTCTCCATACTTGGCCCAAGCCATGCCCATCAGATGCTGCTTTCTTCTCCCCATCACACGGGGCCATACTGGGAAATTCCTTACTTATTCACCTAAATAAGGATCTCCACAAGACACGAAACCTTAAACCCCATTATATTCGAAGAGCATAGATTTAAGGGTCAATGTAACTTTTTTTCTTTCCTCCCTGGAAACTGGATAACAGAAAACAGTTGTTTCCTTCTTCTTCTCGCCAGCCTCCGAAGTAACTCCATTGGACCTCAAGGGGCCAAGGCTCTGGCAGATGCTCTGAAGATTAACCGTACTCTGGCCTTTCTGAGGTACCTACCATCTGCTCCCTGCCCCATTATAACCAGCAGAAGGCCCAGAAAACCCTCTCCCAGGTGCCAACTATGGAGTGGGAGATTATTCAAAATGGCAGCATGCTATACTGGCTCCTATCTTGGTAGATACCACATGATCTTGTATCTACCCAAGTTTCAGGTTTCAGTTCTTCTTTGGTCATTGTACTTGTTTACAGCCTAATCCAGGGATAGAGGAAAGGAGGGTGAGGTTGTATAGAGGTGGAAAAGCAAAATAATTTGTAAGGGAGACCTCTTCTCCACTGAGTGGGAAATCCCCAAGGCCATGGTGTCAGAATGTTCCCCTGAGATGTTTTCCAGGACACTGAAAAGCCCATTTTCTAGAATGTTCCTATGGTTTGCTGTCCTCCTTTTAGAAGCTGTCATATGTGATTGTACCCATCCTTAGTTTTTTCATTTATGTATTTTTATTGGGGTGAAATTCACCAATTTAAAGTATACATTTCAGTGTCACTTAGTAGATTCACAGTTGTTCCTTTATCACCTCTATCTAGTTCCAAAATCTTTTCGGCACCCTAAATGAAGACTCTGTGTTCATTATCAATCACCTCCCAATCTCCCCTCCCCCCAGTCTCTGGAAACCACCAACCTGCTTTCTGTCTCTATGTTTACCTCTTCTGGAGATTTCATACACATGGAATCATACTGTAAGACCTTTTGTGTCTGGCTGCTTTCACTTAGCATGTTTTCCAGGCTCATCCACGTTGTAGCACATGTCAGTATTTCATTTCTTTCTGTGGCTAAATAATATTCTGCTGTATGAACAGACCACAACTTATCCATTTGTCAGTTGATGGACATTTGGGTTGTTTCCACCTCTTGGCTCTTGTGGATAATGCTGCTGTACACATTCACGTCCAAGCATTTGAGTACCTGTTCTCAATTCTTTTGGGTAAATACCTACCAGTGCTTGGTAACTCTATGTTTAGCCTTTTGAGGAACTGCCAGACTGTTTTCCACAGGGTCTGCACTATTTTACAGCCCCACCAGCAGTGGATGAGGGTTCCAATTTTTCCACGTCCTTGTCAACACTTGGATGCTGTAATTAAGTCTACTTAATGTCTTTTTGCTGTAATTAAGACTACTGATAACCTAGTTATTGTTATCCAGATACCATGGGCACACTGGTTCCAGTCAGCAGACAAACACTTAGAGACTCAGAGGGAATCCTTATGCTCCCCTGGGAGAAACCACCGGTTCCCAAATCCTGTGTGGTGGGCAGCAAGGGCATGTAGTGGTCAGCTTCTCTCCCCACCCCTTGGTCCTCGGTAACACTGTGGTAGGGGTTAAGGCCACCACTGGTGCGCCATTGGTGACGTACCTCCTCCTTCCCTCCACAGCCTCCAGAGCAATGCAATCAGGGATAATGGTGCCAGGTTTGTGGCCGAGGCCTTGGCCGCCAACCGGACCCTCTCTGTGCTACAGTAAGTGGACATGCTGGCCAGCAGAGACCCCCCGGCTCTTCCCCCCTCCTCCAAGGGCCTGTTTTCTGCAAGGAAGGATGAATGGGGAGATGGCCTGAGACTTTCTGACCCATCTGGATGGTCCTTGGAAATCTCAATGTCCACTGCTTTTCTACAGAACAGGTGTTGGGAAAATAATTAAAAGTAATGCTTCCTTCCAAAGCAGAAAATCCTCTCCACAAAGGTAGGAAACAGTGGCATTATTTGAAGACTCAACCAGACCGCAGTGCACATCACTGGCAATCCACCAACGAGCTGGCAAAGACCGAAAGAAATCTCACCCCTTTCTACAGCCAAGCAGATACAACCCATGACATGTGTGTTCTAAAGATAACTTGTCCTCAAGTAAGAGGACTGGACGGCACCATTTTTCACCTGTAGTGTTTCCTCAATTTGCCCAGTAGTTAGGGAAGCCAGCTGTTCACTGACTGCCTTTACCCAAAGGAAAAGCCAAACTCCTCGTACCATTATGACAAGCAGACAATTACCATTTGGAGCAGTGCTACCTTCCTTGATGTGTACCTTTCAGAGACGTGGCTCCGAGGTCCCTTAGAGGCTGTCGATCTGGCAAGAGGCTTATTTAGCTTTTAAAAGGATTTACATGCTTCTCAGAGGGACAGATTTACAATTCCAAGTTTTCTCAAAGAAATGCTCTGAGGGAAAGTTTCCCTTTTGGAATCAGGGAAAATTCCCTTTAGTTTAGATTGTATTTGGCCTTACACTGGACAGGTCCTGCCCTGCCTGCCCTTCTGGGATGCGCACAGGGGTTCTCTTGTAGCAGCTCCCTCCACCAGATTTAGTGTGCAGGGAAGTAGCTTCTGGAGAAAAGCCTAAATGGAGGGTCTGCCCTAGGCAGGACTGCAGGGGTGGGAGGCAGGTTGCGGGCTGGTCAAGAGGGAGACTGATTGTTGATGCTGGGAGGGTTGCCTGGGCAAGGAGCCCAGCCATCCTTGCCTCTGACTCCCCACATAATGGTATCAATCTTGCTGGCATCACTTTGGCAATGATCCACAGACCCTTCCTAGAGCCCCCTCTGCCCTCGCTGTGGTAAATGGAGAGAGCAGCTGAGTAGTCTCTGAGCTCTCGCCCTTCCCCTAGACTGTCCCGAGAATGGGAATGGCTGTGGCCAGCTTTGCTGAAGGACCCCTCCCCTCTCCCACAGCCTGCAGAAGAATACCATTGGGCCTGTGGGAGCCCAGCAGATGGGAGATGCCCTGAAGCAGAACAGGAATCTGAAGGAGCTCATGTGAGAAACACAGAAAGGCCACATTTGTATCCTCAGTGACAGGCACAAAGCCTAGCCCATCACAAATATTTGTGAGCATGGGGCTGGAGAGACCGATGGATGGATGGATGGATGGATGGATGGATGGATGGATGGATGAATAGATGGGTGGATGGGTGCTTTGGACTGCAGATTCCCAGGAATTAGGACTGTCTCAGACTCACATTTACTGCCTTCCCAGAACTTCCTGGCTACCTTCACATAAAGTATCACAAAATCTCTCACCAAAGAGTTGGCCCTGCCTCCTGTTAGGGGGTCAAGAAGCACTTTGCTACCTTGATCTCTAATAGGCAGTTGGGGGTCACTTGCAGACGCTACAACCAGACTCAAGAACAGACTGTACACTGGGCACCCTTAAGACAACAGAGCTAGCACTGCCCTGGACCCGCCCACCCAGGCTGCTCCAGAAAACCAGTGCACCCTTGTCTTATCTCTTGCAGATTCTCCAGTAACAGCATTGGCGATGGAGGTGCTGAGGCCCTGGCTAAGGCCCTGAAGGTGAACCAGGGCCTGGAGAGCCTGGAGTGAGTCTGCCTGACCACACTTAGGAGTGGCCATGGGTAGAGGGTGACGTCCCTGGGTTCCCCATCTAGAAGGTGGGCAGGTCCTGGAAGAGGGCTGTCAGTCAGGGCCACCACCATGCCAGAATCCAGCCAACCAGCAACTCTGGGCACACGATGGTCTCAGGCTCTCTCCACACCCACCTCACTGTTGCCTCACACCCACCAGCTCCATTCCCCTGGACAGTAGAGGTTGATTTTGCTTCTGGAGTTTCCAGAGTCACAAGAACCAAGTCTCCCTAGGCTGGCACTGGTGGCTAAAGAGAGCATCGGCTGCAGTGGCCTTGGTGGGGGCTGGAGGAGCTCAGCGCTGCCCCCACCCTGGTTTCAAACACAACACACACCTCTACCCCAAGCCATTTAGAGCCACTCAAATCAAGGCAGAGTCTAAACTTTGGGGGCTGGTGACTCTAGAGCCACCTGCCCTGACCTAGCAGGGTCTGGAACATGGGGGACGGAGACAGGAAAGAGGGATGATGAGAAGAGCACCCTGGGTCTCCCAACTCTGTTGAGCCCGATGCCTACAGTCCCCAGGCTGGAGCAGTGGCTCCCTGGGGGTCCTGGGACAGCTGCCCAAGCACTGCCCCGTCCTGTTTGCAGCCTGCAGAGCAATTCCATCAGTGACACGGGTGTGGCAGCGCTGACGGGGGCCCTCTGCAGCAACCAGACCCTCATCAGCCTCAAGTAAGTCCCGGCTTCCCTCTCCAGCTTCCCTTTGGTCAGGGTGTCTAAGGGCCTTTAGGACTTGGGAGGAGAGGCTGGTGCTGGGGAGGCCACCCCTCCATCTGTGGGTGTGTTAAGAACACATCTGTGACTGGGGAGCTGGGACCTGGAGCCAGCATCCCACATGCTTGGGAGAGCAGGGGACAGCCAGGGTCCTTGCCTGGCCAGTTCTGCTGCTCCCTCTGGTACACAAGCCAGTGAGGCAGCTGAGCACGCTCGCCTGCCCCCGTCCCCTCACCTCTGAGGACCCGTCAAACGGTCCGCTTCCTCCTGGGCAGTCCCACTGTTGGCAGTCCCACGGGAAGATGCTTGGCCACCCGTGGAAGCCCTGCCTCACGGAGGCTCTTCGCACCCGATCACTCAGGACACCCAGGTCACACCTGTGGTTCCTTGGGTTTGAGGAGCCTGAGCACCAGGGATCATGTCCCCAAGTCCCCATGTCTGGTCAGCAGCTCAGGGTCTTCTCTCTCCCCAGCCTGCGGGAAAACTCCATCAGCTCAGAGGGAGCCCAGGACCTGGCTCGAGCTCTCTGCAGCAACAGCACCCTGAAGAGCCTGGAGTACGTGAGTGGGTGCAGGGCTGTGCTTCCTACGGCCCCTTTCGGGCCCAGGGTGACAGGGGACTACAGACCCTCGTCACCTTGTCATTTTACAGGCTGGAGAGGGGCAGCCCTTCCACGCTCGTGTGATAAGTTACCTGTGGGTGAAGTTCGTGGGGACCCTGCCTGCCCCCACGGCCCCCTCTCCATGGTGATGTGAGAGGGGCCAGCTCTTCGGGGCAGTGTAGTACAGGGATCAGGAGAGTCCTCCAGGGAGGTGATCTGTCCTGGACCCCATGTCCACGCAGCTGTCAGGAAGGCACGTGCTTGGCACACACCAGCGCTCAAAAAACATGCGCTAGGCTGGTCCTCAAGGAGGAGGGGAGCTGGATTCCCAGCTGAACAAAGACGGTGGGGCTCCAAGGCCTGCAGGCTCCTGCTTACTCGCCCGTTCCCCTCCTCCCAGCCTGACAGCCAACCTCCTCCACGACCAGGGCGCCCAGGCCATCGCGCTGGCAATGAGAGAAAACCAGGCCCTCACGTCCCTTCAGTGAGTCTACGGCGCCCTCACTGCGCCTGTCCCTTCTGCAAAGCTGCAAGGCCATCACACCAGCTGGCTTTGGGCTCCCCCACAAGGCCTCAGGGGCTTGCAGTAGGCTGTGCCCTGCCCCCCACTCTGCTTTCTGGGGCTGGTCCACAGAGAGGCCAAAGGTGGGAGGTGGGCACCCATGTCACACCTCCAAGTGTCACCTCACCAGCTTCACACAGAGGGCTCTGGAGTCTTCATTGGAGCCCGTCCCTGTGTCCAGCCCTAGCCAGGGAGTACTCACCGACCCCTTTGGACTACACCTGAGGCGGGTTGTAGGGGTTCTGCCCATCAGTGGCCAGGACCCTGTCCTGCAAGGTCTCCTTCCCTGGGGAGGACTCCCAGACTCTCCTGGGAGGAGTCCCCCCTTTCCTGGTCTCCGCCCTGGCCCGCATGATCACGTGTGTGTGTGTCTGCCCAGCCTGCAGTGGAACTTCATCCAGGCCGGTGCTGCCAAGGCCCTGGGACAAGCACTACAGCTCAACAGGAGCCTGACCAGCCTCGAGTGAGTGGGGCCTCGGCAGGGGCTGCGGGGAGGGCAGGGCTGCAAGGAAATCTGAAACCGCGCTGTCCGCCAGGCGCTGTCCGCCAGGCGCACGGCTGCGCTGCGCTTGCACCCGAGGCCCTCAGCACGCAGCCTCCTCTGCCCTAAGGCCAGCAGCCTTATTTTCTGTGTTTCGTTTTCTTTAAACAGCTTTGTTGATACATAATCCACGTACCACAAAAATCTACCCAGATAAAGTGTACGCTTCACTGGCTTCTAGTATATTCACAGAGTTGTGCGGCCATCCCCACAATTTTAAACCATTTCCATCTCCCCTGAACAAAACCCCACACTCATTAGCAGTCACTCCCCGTTGCCCCCGTCCGCCTGCTCCTGGAAACCACACGCCTGCTGTCTGCCTCTATGGAGTTACCTGTACTGGATACTTCACAAACATGGGCTTGTACAGTATGTGACCTTTTGCCACCAAGCCCTTTCGTTCAGTATCATGTTTTCAAGGCTCACCCAGGTTGCAGCATGAATCACGGCTTCATTCCTTTTTATGAATGAGTCCTATTCCATCGTGTGCATAGATAGGCTGTTTATCCACTCATCTGTCGAGGGACATCCGGGTGGTGTGGACTGTTTGGCTCTTGTGAGGAACGCTGCTGTGAACATTTACATACAAGCTTCTGTGTGGACAAACGTTTTCATTTCCCTTGGGCACACGAGTGAGTGGAGCTGTGGAGTTGAATGGGAACTCTGTCTCATCTGCTTTTGACCACGTCCACATCTTGTCCCTTGGCATCCAGGATAGCCCATCTCTGGCTGGTCTGTTCTAAGCCATTGTATCTCAAATGAGTTCTCCTTTCCAGAAGCTGTCCTCTGGCACACTCCTGGACTTCAAATTCCTGGCGCCCTCACATCCATATCCCTCCCCCCTGAGGCCCAGACCTACGTAATCACTGCCCGCTCTGCATCTCCCCTTGGCTGCCTCGCACAGTGCCCACACCACCTCCTCACGAGTCTGCTTCTCGGCCCCACCTCAGGGATGGGCCCAGCCAACCCGTCATGCAAGCTAGAAACATCGTCTCTGCTCTTGCTTCCCACTTGTGACTCTCCTCCCAAGGAACCACGGCCTCCCTCTACTCCCAAGGCCACTGTTAAGCCACCAGCTCCACTCACCCTGTGTCCCCATAGCTGCCTCCACATCCAGTCCATCCACTCACACTGCCGGCCAAACATCTTTCCAAAACATAAATCTGTTCCCCATCCTAAATGCGACGCTTCAATGGCCGTCCAGTGCCTGTAGAATGAAATCCAACCCTCAGCCTGGCTTCTAAAAAAGGCCCCAAAGACCTGCTTCCTTTATTTCACACACCAGCCACTGGACTCCATTTCTTTGGGTTCCTTGGATGTGCCAGACCCCTCCCCCATCCTTCATCCTGGAGGTTCCAGTGTAGACCTATTTCTTCCAGCAGCCTCTGTGACACGGGGGTAGGAGACCCCATGGGGCCCTCCGTGCCACCAGCACATGGCCCACGGCACCTACTCGTTCAGTCACAACCCCCCACCTGAGACAGGATCAGGCCAGGGCACCACACACACTAACATGTCTGCCAAAATTGTGAATGCCAGCTGCTCCCTTCAACATCCCAATGCCCACCCGAACTCTCAATCATTTACTGCTCTAGAATCTATGACTTTACTCCAATGTGAAGGGAAATAAAGAAAAAAAGATGTAAAACGCTGACGAGCAAGAATGGCCAGGGACTAAGGGCTTTGACTTAATTCTCTGGCCGGCACCCCCTTTTTTTTTTTGTCCTAACCCTTAAGAGTATTTCACGTGTCCCTTTTGTTGTTTGCTTCTGATGACCCAGGATCATAGAGATGCCAGAGCCCTCTGCATCTTAATTAGGAGGCTGGGGGGTGAGGGTGGGGGGTGGTTATCCCCTTGGCAACTCTGGGAGTCTAGTCTGTGGTATGTGCGGTCTGAATGAAATCTAGAAGGTTCAAGCTCAAGTGCTAGCTAGCCCCGTGCCCTGTGGGCCCAGAGGTCACACTCTGTGTTCAGTTTGCAGGAGAACGCCATTGGGGATGAAGGTGCCTCCGCAGTGGCCAACGCACTAAAGGCCAACACAGCCCTCACTGCTCTCTAGTAAGTGCTGATGTGCACGGTGGCCCAGGCAGCTGGCCGTGTACCATCGTTTCCTACCAAATACCAGTTTTGCTTCCCAGCCAAGGGAGGTGTGTTTGATTTTCCTAATGTTAGCAATGGAGACAAAGTAAGAAGTAAGCGTTCAGGGAGTGCTTTTCCTCAAACTCTCCAGGGGACCACCTCTCCTTCTCGTATCCATAGCATCCAGATCTCTGTCCTCAGCATCAGCGTAGGCTGGATGTTCTTTAGACAGATCACAGGCCAATGGTTTTCCGCGCTATGTTGCCATTTGCAGGCCTAAGTCCACGGCTGGAGAAGGAAGGACAAGGATGCATGGAAGCTGGGCTGGGTGGGGCCTGAGAGCCCTGGCCTGTCCACACTGACCACATCTCTTCTTTGTAGTCTGCAGGTGGCCTCCATCGGCACCCGGGGGGCCCAGGCGCTAGGGGATGCCCTGGCTGTGAACAGGACCTTGGAGATTCTTGAGTGAGTATTCCAGTCTCTGGTTATTGTCTCTTGCCCAAAGAAACCAAGCTGTTGATTCAAAATGAAGTTATGGAAGGGAAAATGTATCGATTTACATGGAAACTCACAATCACTTAATGTGGTCATTTAGATGAAGCATTCCCCAGCTTCCCCTCTCACCTCACTCCTCTTCCCTGGGAGTCACTACTGGGGCTCCCGCTCTCCTGGGTCTTGCCTGGGCTGAGCTCATCCCGAGGTCCTGTGTAGGGGTCCCCGGCCACTGACCTTGGTCTAGGAGATCCAAACCCTGGAGGGGAGACTTAAGCTCAGTGGGGGCCTCAGGCATGTCCCAGTCAGTCCTGCTCTTGTGGTCCTGGGACGCTGAGCATATGGGAACCACTGGAGGAAGTGTCCCCTCTCTCATCTCAGCCCTGCTCTCCTTTCTTTGGGATGGAGGAGGGCAAGGGCTCCAATGAACCACCAGGGTTGGGGCAGCTTTGCCCCTCCTGGTGTGTCCTGCTCCCCAGAACCGATCTCTGTTCTGTGCCAGGGAGTCAGGAAGGAGGAACTGCCCCCTGTGGCTGCGGAGTCCCTGCTGCCGCTCCCCAGGGGCCCACGCTCATCTGAGGAGGCACTCTTTTCACCCCACAGTCACCCTGGTGCCTTAGGCTTTGTATCTTTCCTGACAGCTTAAGAGGAAACGCCATCGGGGTGGCCGGAGCCAAAGCCTTAGCAAATGCTCTGAAGGTCAACTCAAGTCTCCGAAGACTCAAGTGAGTGGTCGTAGAGGCCTACCTGTGCCCGGAACAGCAGACTTCTCTGCTGGAACCTCCCCCAGGAAATGAGATGCTTTTGATTTCCTCTGTAAGCCGCTTCCCTCTGAATAGAAATAGCGCTACTGGAGTCCATGTTGCAGACGGGCTTGTTCATTCTGGCTAGCTTCTGTCTGAGGTAAGCCATTTAACGTCTGCAGTTTTAGTCTCACATCCTCCATGGCGCTTGGACAGGAGCACCTGGCTACTTGTAGACACTGGTCTCAGGGGTGACCACCACCTTACTGTTGGGGTGACACCTGTGATTAATGCAGCGCTGCTTCCTGGGGCGTGTCCTTCTGTCCCAAATGGCTCACCATGCTGTCTCTGTCTTTTCTCTGCCTAGCCTTCAAGAGAATTCCTTGGGGATGGATGGGGCGATATGCGTTGCCACTGCACTCTCTGGGAACCACGGCCTCCAGCACATCAAGTGAGTGGGGCCCGGCAGCATCTGCTCTTTCCTGCCATTCTCACTCAGGTCAGGACCTGCCTTCCGCCTGATTCTTGAAGCCAGCTGACTCCCAGGTCTCTCGGTGGCTCTGCAGGGCAACTGGGTGTAAGAGGGAACCATTCTGGGCCTTCCCCGTGGGAGGGATCCTGGAAGCATGGTCTTGCCAGAACTCTGCATTTCATGTAGTGACTGTCTGCTCTTTACTAAAGGAAACCTGCAGGCTTCTGGCCCTTGGGCCCCTCTCTCAAGCCCTGTCCTAATCCTTCTCTTTCAGCCTCCAGGGAAATCACATTGGGGAATCTGGTGCCAGGATGATCTCAGAGGCTATCAAGACAAATGCTCCTTCATGCACTGTTGAAATTTGAGCAAAACAAGTTCCTGGTGGACCAGGCAAGAGAAAAGGCAGAGAAGCCAACAGGAAACTTTTGAACAAAAAGACCCCAGTCTAGGGTTCCTCCCTAAGGTCTGGGAATGATGCTGACCTGCACAAACGCTGGTCTCCTGCAAGAAAGCAGGAAAGGTGCTACCAATGGGGTCAGGAGCACCTCTCCTGGTCCAGGGTCTGTCCAGGAAGGGGTGACATGGATTCTCCGCTATGGTACAGAGAAGGGAAGGTCTCTGCCACAGGACTCAGGGACATAGGCCTTACAGCTCAGCAGGTGAGAAGCCGGTGCGAGCTTATTCATGCCTTCGGGTCTTCATGCACCCCTAACTTTTATTATTACTGTCCTTTTCTGCTGATTAAAATCATCTCCCTCTCTCTGAAATGAGCTGCCCCCTTCAAGCCTATGCAAAGTGTCCATTTGGCACTGGTGACAGAAGGGACCTTTCTTTCCTCAAGAACAGATCTTAGGAGTATGTTCCTCAGAGACACATGGAAAAACTATGAGGATTGTTTTGAAGAGAAATGAAGGCTTTTAATTATAGAATTATGGAGACAGAGAAAGTTCTGCCAAGGTTTTTGCTCTTTTTTATCCATTACCAAATCTCGCAAAGGCACGGATTATATCTGACACACATATGTGGGGTCTAGCGCATGGGTCATCAATAGCACGTTACATGTTGATGCCTGAATCATGTTATTCAACAGCGGGCTTCCCAAACCGCTACTGGGCCTGCAGCGCCCCTGGGAAGGCAAGCAAGCTGAGCTATGTGGCACAAATTCCCTCAGGAGTCGGTCTATGATGAAATGAAAAAGTTCCCAAGTGGACACCACAGCTCTCACCAACTAAATAACCAAGGAAAATACTTGTCAAGATTATAAATGATCATTTTGCAGTGTGAACACAAATCAGTGTTGTTCTAAATGTTCCCTTAAAAATGAGTGATTGGGCAAGAATCATCAATGGATGCTAAAACCGTGGGTGGACAGCCTCTTGCGGAAGAATCAATCCACCCCACAAGGGATATTTACAAAGGGGAAAAATGTATCTTTAAAGATGAAAATTTTTACAAATGCTTTCTTTACAATGTGGTTAAACTTACCATCACCACAAAGGGGATAAACTGACATCACCAGCTCCTGATGGGAGGCACTGAGGACACGTCGCTGATGCAGTATTCTCACCAAAAATGTTGATTTGAATCTAATTAGGAAGGAACAGTCAGATAAAATCCAAATCGAGAGGCATTCTGCAAAAAACAATAGCCTGACCTCTTCAAAAATATTAATGTCGTGAAAAACACAAAAGTCAGGGGACTTTTTTTTTTTTTTAATGTTTATTCATTTTTGAGAGACAGAGTACAAGCAGAGGTGGAGCAGAGAGAGAGGGAGACACAGAATCGGAAGCAGGCTATCAGCACAGAGCCTGATGTGGGGCTCGAACTCACAAACCCTGAGATCACGACCTGAGCTGAAGTCAGCCATTCAACCGACTAAGCCACCCAGGTGCCTCAAGTCCGAGGACTTTTCAATTGTAGGAGATTAGAGACATAACAACTTAATGTAAGATCTCTAATTGGATCCTTGACTGGAGAAAAACAATCATCTATAAAGAAAAGTATCTGGAGACAGGAGACATTTGAACATGGGTCTTGTGTAGTATTTATTTGAATTACTGGGTTTTGAAAGTTATTTTTGCAGGGTATAGAATTATAGACTGGTTTTGGGCTCTTAGTACTTTCAAGAGCTATCTTCTGGTTTGCACAGTTTCCAGCTGAGTTAAGAACTCGACAGAAAAAAAGATGCAGAAGCCAAATGCTAGAGAAAGTTGTGCCTTGCAGGGACCTAGCCACCAGAGAAACCTTAGGGGCCAAATGGAGAAAAATCGTGCTCTCCAGGGACTTCAACAGCAAGCTGCCTCCCTAGCAGCCTACTGACAAGGCTCTACATCTCTTCGGCTGGCAAGAGAGGTTTACAAGGAATAGCTCTATTACCACAGAGCAGGCCAAACGGTGAACTGGAGCAGAGGCAATAAACCCATCAACAGCATTGTGCAACTTGTTTTTTTGTTTTTCACTTTCAACAGTTTTCTATTGCTGTGTCTTCAGGGTATGCTCTCTTCTGTGGTGCCTCATCTAATCTCAATCCCAGTTTGCACAGGTATTATCTTGGTTCTTTAATGTCCACAAGTGTTGAGGTTTTCTTTAGGCCTTATCTCTTCTCCTGCCTCCCTCTACATTTCAGTATAGGGAATTAAAACTGCCTGAATGCCCTTTTCTACTAATTCTATCATCTGTCATTTGGGTGGGGGCAGGTAATTTCTTGGTCTGTTTTCTTGATCCTTCTCATTATGCCTGGTAATTTTTGATTGGACACCAGACACAGGGAATTTTATCTTGTTTCGTACAGACTATTTTTATATTCCTTCAAATTCTTGAGCTCAATTCTGGAACACATTACTTAGAAACAGCTGGATCCTGTGGCCTGTGTGGCTCAGTCAGTTAAGCGTCCAACTCTTGATTTTGGCTCAGGTCGTGATCTCATGGTTGGTGGGATCAAGCCCTATGTCAGGCTCTGCTCTGATGGCAGGGAGCCTGCTTGAGATTCTCTCTCTTTGCCCTCCTCTCTGCTCCTCCCCTGCTCACTTGCTCTCTCGAAGTAAAGAAATAAAAATGAAAAAGAAAAAATGAAACAGCTGGATGCTTTCAAAGCTTGCTGTTTTAAGCTTTGTTAGCCAGGATCAGCCATCCTTAGGTTCAGGGCTCCTGTGGCCCAACTTATGAGGCGATGTCTGGGTATTCTGAGTATTCTACCTGATGCCCAAGTCAGAAAACTGTCTGGGGGCCTTATCTACAACAGACACTATAGAAATCCAAGTGTAAAAGATCGTGAAATCAATCTTAGCCTTCTTACTCCAAACGGTAGCATCAACCCAAGCAGTTATGTGGTATGCATGCTGTTTCCATTACACAATATCATTTATTTTTTTATTTCTGAGAGAGAGAGAGAGCGTGAGCAGGGGAGGGTCAGAGAGAAGGAGATACAGAATCTGAAACAGGCTCCAGGCTCTGAGCTAGCTGTCAGCACAAGGCCCGACACGGGGCTCAAACCCATGAACCGTGAGATCATGACCTGAGCCAAAGTTGGATGCTTAACCAACTGAGCCACCCAGGTGCCCCCACGACATGGCTTTTAACAGGACTCCTAACAATGACTTTGCTTCATCAGTTATGCACACTCTCTCTCGGAGTCACCCCTTCCCATTCCACAAACTAGTTCCCTCCAGCTAAAAAAAATCCTCCTCACGTTTTCCTCTCAAAAAACAAAAAAGCTTCCTCTGCCCCTCCAAAATGTTCTTGGCCACACTTTTCTCTCCTAGCTGGGCCCTCTCTTTTCACCTGTGACCACCCACCTTTCTGAACACTCATCAATATTCACTGTGTTGGCTTCAAATTCTAACCTCTCTTCAACCCATCACGTGATACCTGACTGCTCCCGGCTAAGGGCGCCAGAGATTTCCTATGTACCAATGTCAGTGGCCTGACTCAAGCTCATTTAAAAGGAGGATTTAGCTTGCTCACCTCTCCCTTCTTTGGAAATTCTCCCCTGCCTTGGCTTCCACAGCACAACCTTCCAGCCCTCCTTCCTTCTCGTTACTCCTCTTCTTCAATAGTCTTTGGAAAATAAAACATATTTTGCCCTAATTATTAAAGTAAAATATACTCACTTTAGAAACTTTAGCAAATACTCTCCCAACCTCTCTTTCTGGCTCCTTGTGGCCTTTGCCTCTGAGACACAGCATTTCTCAGCTTCCAACCTTGGCTCTCTTCCACCCCACGTGTTCTCCCCTGAGCAACCTCAGAGGAAAATGATCTTCAAACCTCAGTCTCCAGCCCTTACCCTTTTCCTGTCTGTAGATTTACCTTTTCCAAAATTCATTTCATCAAAACAGCACAGTAATATGTGTAGTTTAAAAAGCCAAAAATTACCAGGCTTATAATGGAAAACAGCAGCCGCTTGTCTTGTTCCTCCCCTTCCTGAATATCCCGACTCCCCCAAACTAAATATCCCATATACAGTTTCTTGCTTTATCATCTTCGAGATTATCCACTGAACTGTACATGAGAAATGGCACTTGGATGTAGGTCAGCTTACATTCCCACTCTTTGTTTCTCCATCTTTCCAATGGAGTTAGAGCATGATTTTGGTTTAAATCATCAGTGTTTATCTTTTGACTTCATTAGTATTGATCACTCTGGAGTCATGTTCTCCTATGTACTTTATTGTTCTTCTTCGAATGAACAGTGCACCTTTTAAAAAACTCAATTTTCTATGTCACTATTGCTTAATTCTTTCCGAACCGCCCCAGAGAAGTGTAAAATCAGAATACTGTTTCACAGGCACACGGGTTTTTTCATCAGTTACACTTTCCCCTCAGGACATCCCTGCTTGAGCTCTCGGTCCTCCTGTCCCACTCATCCCCGTCGCAAGGCCTTTTGTTCTGGGCAGTTTTAGTTTTCTTCCAATTCACCCAGTCCTGGATTCCAGCACCTCGGAGTCCTCCAGGCCAGGCTAGCAACTATGATATTTATGTGGTGTGTTGCTAGCTTAAGCCAACTCCACTTCCTTTCAGACGTTTGACACGATATTACAGTTTAAAACACTAACGAAAGATCGCTCGTGTGTCTTCTTCCTGTTCCAGCTAAAAGGGCAACAGTTCTTCAGACCTCCCACTGGAAGTCCTTGGACTTGGTTCTTGATGGCTACCACCAATAAAAATTAAGGACTTAAAAATGCCCTTGACATTTTCAGCCAATACACACGCTGTAAAACATTTTAAGAGGTCCTTTACTTACACAGGTAAAAACAAAGAACAGTTGGCAATGATCTAAATGATGGCTTTTCATTGACCTAATCATATAATTTTCTTTGGGGCCTGAGTCTGTTCTGATGCTTGGACCAAAACACTTGATCTTAGCCAAAAGGCCAAGAAGTGATTGCTTGGGCCAAAACAAAAGACACCAGGACACAGGCTCTCATATATATCTGACTTCTGGATCGGTGACAGTGACAGACACACACTAGTAACTACGATCAGGTACTTGAAGCTCCTTTGCTGGCAGAAGCTGCCCGAGTAAGAAGTACCACTCCATGGGGAGGCTGTGCAGTCAGTTAACCGAGGGATGAGGGACTTTGAAGGAAGAAGTGAAATAATAAACCGCGCACTGCACTGGCGCCTATTATCGGTGGAGGGGTTACCTGTAGGTTGGGTCATGCTTCCACATTAATGCCCATTAGAAGAATCACATAAGGACGGAGTGCTTGGGGGGCTCAAGTCAGTCAAGCGTCTGACTGTTGATTTCAGCATGGGTCATGATCTCATGGTTTATGGGTTCTAGACCTATGCTGGGCTCTGAGGTGACAGTGCAGAGACTGCACCATTTCAAACAGGGCACATCTCCATCACTGCCGAATTAACCGAATGCTATTTTAAAAAAAGAGTAATCTCCTATACAGGAGTTAGGAAGAGACAGGCAAAAAAGCTAAGATGATAGAAATCATCGTCACACTGTCTCCTCAAAGTTGACATGTACCACAGTAACCTGTGAACTTTTCTTGAATACATATTTGTGTTCTAGGTGAAAATAAACAACATAATTACACTTTCAAGTAAAACTTATTTAATAATATAAAAATATGGCATTAAATACATTTATTAAGAGTTAAGGAACTTCAGAGTCTTCTGAGTTCATAACTGAGAAATGTATGAGAAGAGCTCTGCGTTTCCATATCAGAAATGCAACACAACTCCACCGGTCTGTCACTTCTCACACCACATCAGGGAAAGGATCCTAGTGCTACTCAGCCTAATGCAATTCTGGTTAATTTTTTTTAGTCAACAACATGAATGTGTACCAACACCTTTTCTTCAGCTTGCTCTCCCCTATGAAGAAATGTCAACCTTCTGAGAGAAAATGGGACATTTATATTCTGAAACATCTCTCTGTTGCCTGGTTTTGAAGGAAAGTGGGTTTTCACCTAACTTGCCTAACTTTCATTTGGGAAATTTTAGTAAAATACATTTGAAGCTTTTGTGGCCACAGGCCCCTCCCCCGCCCCCCCCCCCCCACTCTTAGTGGAAACTCACTACAACTCCCAAGATGAACAGTATTGACCCTTAGTTCCCTTCAGGTTTTTGTCCTGCAGATGTGCATCTCTAAGAACACAGATGTTTCCAAAGTTTCAAGAGATAAAGAAGGTAAAAATAAAATCCCCATCTTCTTTGGGGTTTGCTTCAGGTCTCGCTGAAGCTCTGTGGAGTAACCCAGAGGAGGCTAAAGAAGAACTAGGTGTTGCTTCATTAACAAGTCCAGCTGGTTTAGTGAACAAAATAGGTTCCTTCCTAACCTTCTAACTTCCCGTTTACCTACAGATCTGAGGAATTTAATCTGTCTGGTCTCTTGGCACAAAGATCAGAAGTCATTGTCGCTCTCATCCAGGGGCTCAGGCTTCCGGACCCTTCGACTGGGCTTTGCTGGCGAGAGAGCAACGCTCTCATCTTCCAAATCATCGTCTTCTTCATCGCCCTCCATGTCAATCTCACTGTCCTCCGAGTCCTCCTACAGGAAAACGGCAAACACAGCTGAGGGCCCATCTCTTTCGGACAGCTTGTCGGCAGAGACCTCTTTCTACCAGTAGCTCAGTAACTAGCAACACCCCCACATGAAGGAAGAGCTTGGCAGAGAAGCAGTCAGGCTGTGGGGCGTGAGAAGGGGACCTACGTCCAGATGCTGTTGGCTCAAAGACAAACATAAATGGGTCATCTGACCAGTGACCCTCAGACGCCAGCATGCAGTCTGTGTGGTGCTGCAGGAGCTGGCTTTCCCTCTCATGTCTCAGAAACACCACCGGATGCTGCTCTGCTCCAGAGGCCCAGCGACCCACTAGGGGACAGCAAGGACAGAGGGGCTTGGAGATTAGGAAGGTGGGTTTATTTTGGCTTTTACCAGATTGGAGATGGAAAGCCACAAAGGAATTGGGCATAAGGAGCAAAATAAAAGGAACACTCTCTCCATCACCTAGATCTGGGGTGACCAACTCAGCTGGGATTTCAAACTGCAAGTGCTGGGGCACCTAGGGGAGCTCATTCAGTTAAGCTTCTGACTCTGGATTTCAGCTCAGGTCATGATCCCATGGTTCGTATGCTCGAGCCCTGCATCGCACTCATAGCACAGAGCCTGCTTGGGATTCTCTCTCTTCCTCTGCCCCTCCCCCACTCCCTCTTTCAAAATAAGTAAGTTAAAAAAAAAACAAAAAACCCCAGGAGTGGCTGGGTGGCTCAATTGGTTAAGCATCCGACTTTGGCTCAGGTCATGATCTCACAGTTTGTGAGTTCAAGCCCTGCATCAGGCTTTGTGCTGATAGTTCAGAGCCTAGAACCTGCCTCAGATTCTGTGGCTCCCTCTCTCTCTACCCCTCCCCAACTCCCGCTCTGTCTCTCTCTCAAAAATAAACACTAAAAAAAAAAAAAAAATTAAAAACAACTTCCAAAACTGCGAGTCATGCATCCCAGGTAAATCAAGAGGGCTGGCCACTCCAGCCAGATCACTTCCACCAGCAGCAATACATGCAGCAATTTCCTTCTTAAAAACACAAAAGGAGGGGGGCGCCTGAATGGCTCAGTTGGTTGAGTACCAACTTCAGTTCAGGTCGCGATCTCACAGTTCGTGAGTTCGAGCCCCACGTCGGGCTCTGTGCTGACAGCGAAGAGCCTGAGGCCTGCTTCAGATTCTGTGTCTCCCTCTCTCTCTGCTCCTCCCCCACTCATGCTCTCTGTCCCTCTCTCGAAAAAAAATAAAAAATAATAAACTTTAAAAAAATTTTAAAAAAGAAAGAACACACAAAACGAGAACCCAAAGTTAATCCCACCTTCCTCGCCAGCTACTCTGCCCTGTCCCTCCACACCCCCACCCTGGTAACAGTGAAACTCCCTGAAGGAGTCTTGAACCCACCACCCTGTCGGCCCTCCTCTGGCTGCATCCTCAACACGTTGAGCAGGCATGCTTCCCCGGCCAGTCCCCCCATCCGGTCTTGTCGGGACCCAAACAGCAGAATTCCAATCCAGTGGGCGAGTCTCGGCGTCTGGTGTGACCTCCAGGCTGCTACTTCCTGCTTGAAAACCACTCTGTGCTGCAGAACACCCTTCTCTCGGGTGCTCGCCCCACTGCACTCCTGCATCTTCCAGTCTCACATGCCCCTACACCCACCGTCTCTGACTCTGCAACGCAGCTCAGCTCAGAGCCCGGGGGCTCCCTCCTCCACTCTTTCTACCCTCTCCCCTCACACAGTCACATGTCCCCTTGCAGCTCCAACACGGTCTAACTATGATGGCTCCCCAAATTCAACTCCAGCTCAGGCCTCACCCCTGAACTCCAGACTTGAATTCCAAGTGACCATTCGACCCCAGCACATGGGTGGCTGGTAGGCAATGCATGCGTGGAGTGTCTAAAACCCAACTTCTGGGGCGCCTAGATGGCTCAGTCGGTTAACCGTCCGACTTCGGCTCAGGCCATGATCTTGCGGTTCTTGGGCTCGAGCCCCGCTTCAGGATCTGTGCTGACAGCCAGCTTAGAGCCTGGAGCCTGTTTCAGATTGTGTGTGTGTCTTTCTCTCTCTGATCTTCCCCTGCTCACACTGTCTCTCTCTCTCTCAGAAATAAATAAAATATTAAAAAAAAAAAAATTAAAACCCAACTCCTTTACTGTACCCCAAGCCCTGCCTCCCCTTGGGACACACCAACTCCACGTGTGCCGTCAGCCCAGGACACCACAAGTGGGGCATCCTTCATTTCTCGTTCTCTCACACCCCATGTCCAGTTAATAAAACTTCAAGGTTCAGACCTTGAAAACATCCAGAATCCAACGACTTCTTTAAAAAATTTTTTAATGTTTTATTTATTTCTGAGAGACAGACAGACAGACAGACAGCATGAGCAGGGGAGGGTCAGAAGAGAGGGAGACACAGAATCTGAAACAGACTCCAGGCTCTGAGTGGTCAGCACAGAGCCCAAGGCGGGGCTCAAACCCAGCAACTGTGAGATCATGACCTGAGATGAAGTTGGATGCTTAACCGACTGAGCCTCCCAGGTGCCCCCAGAATCCGACGACTTAACACGTCTGGTGTGACTACCTTCAGCTGAGCTGCCGGCACCTATGAAGCAGGTCTCCTGCAAGCGCCTCATGACTGGTGTCTCTTCGCTGCCAGGCTCGCGGATCTCAGCCCCTTCCCACTGCACTCAGAAAACCCTGGGTCCTCAGGTCCCGCAAAGTTCTGGTGGCCCCACTGCCTGTCCTGCCGTTCCTGCCTGCCACCCACTCCATCCCAGTCATGCCATCTCTGGACCTCCTGTGCAGGAGCCACATCCCCTGTGCTCTGGAGGCCCTCCCTGTACCACGGCCCTCCTTCCATTCAGGCCTCTGGCACGTGTCACCCAATCAGAGAGACGTTCCCTGAGCAAACAAGACACTGACCTCCTCCTTCCACCCTGTCATTCTGTTCCCTGAACTGCTTTTTCTTCCTGCCACTGTGACCCAACATACTCCCTCGGTTATGGCAGGAACGCGAGCTTCCTGAAGGCAGGGATGTGGCCCCCATAATCTGCAACAACACCTATACATGACAGGCACTCAGCAACCATCTGTCGTGCAGACGAATGCGCACATGAAGGACAAGCCTACGCTTGGGCCGCGTGAGGAGACAGCCTCCCTGAAGCCAGCAAGTGACAACGAGGCACAGAGGACATGTGAGCTGTACCTCGGGCACTTGTTCCAAGACGAGAGAGCTATGTGCATGAGCAAGCAGATCCTAAGACAAGGGACCAGACAGTGACTTCAGGCATCCCCAGCACCCACGCCACACTTCCCATTCATGCCTCGAATGGGTAAGATGCGTGGGCAGAAGCTAAAAGCCCTCCGCCCCAGACTCTGTTAAAAACCTCTGAGACAGTTTCTCTGCTCCTCTAAGACTACCTTATGTGATTTCAAGGCTCCATCTTCTCTGCACATCTTGCCCAGAGGATTTCAGTAACAATACACAACGGGACATAAAGATCTCTATATATTTATAAATAAGGGAGCACAAGCGGCACCTGGATGGCTCAATAGGCTGGGCGGCCAACTTCAGCTGGGGTCATGATCTTACAGTTCGTGGGTTCAAGCCCCACATCAGGCTCTGTGCTGACAGCCAGCTCAGAGCCTGGAGCCTGTTTCAGATTCTGTGTCTCCCTCTCTCTCTCTGACCCTACCCCTGCTCACGCTCTCTCTCTCTCCCAGAAATATAAAACATAATTACAAATAAATAAATAGAGAGCACAAGAGTATCAGCCCGCGCTGTCCCTGTGCAGCTACTAGTGCCACGCTTCAGACACATGTGACACACGACCTGATAAGGTGGTTTGTGGTCTGTCAGCCTAGTCACCCCTTGCCTCTGGGGCCTCACAGGCTTGGCAGGGACTGCCACAAAGGCAGGCAGGCCCAGGGCAATGGACGGTGCAACCCCAGCTATGGGACCCCAGCAAAGACCCGTTTCCCCATTCTGGTTAGTTTCCCAGTCAGTATTAACTCAATGACACTCAAGGTGCTGGCAGCCTGATGTCCCAGCCTCTTGCCCAGCCTCTCTGAGGCCCTTGTCTCAGGAGAGCCTCCTTGTCCATTCCCTCCCCAGAAGGGAACTAGAGAGAGGGCTGGTCTTGACCCCAGGACTTCAGCTGGTTCCATTCTTTTCTAGGTTTCAGCTCAAGGACCTAATGACCTTCCTTGTCTCTTGGCTTGCAGTCACCTCTCCTCCTCAGCCTATGGACCTTTAGGTAAGTTCACCATTCTCTGTGGGACCTGTTTTCCATGGCTCTCGCCCAGGAGACAGAGGCACCACTCTTGTAGAAGGCTCTGCTGGCCCTGAGCAGGCGCACGCATGCACGCACGCACACATGCACACACACAAGGTGAGAAGAAAACCCACCTGCTTCTTGGAGCTGGAAGTCTTCCATTTACCTAAGAGAGCTGGTGCTGCTTCCATCTTTGGAAAGCGAGAATGGAAAGAATAGTGAGAAGGAAAAAAAGAAGGAGTGGGGAGGGAAAGTACGTTCATTTGAAAAGAAAAGAGCCATCAACAAGCAAAGAACAGTCCAGCTCCTTGAGAGGCCCTACTCTGCCACACACCCAGCAGGGGCCAGGCTGAGAGGCGCACACCTCGTTTACGAGGCCAGCCCCAGACCAGGAAGAACGGAACAGCTAAAGGGAGCTCAGCGGGACTCACGTCGTCGTCGGAGTCTCCACCCTGCATTGTGCCCACGATGCGTTTGCTGGGTCTTCCTGAGGAGAACCAAAGCATGTAGAAATCAGAACAACCGTACTTAAAAAAAAAAAAAAAAAAAAAAAAACGTACTTAAAAAAAAAAAAAAAAAAAAAAAAAGGCAAGGAATGGCATTTAAGACTTGCTTTCCTTTGGGGAAAAACAAGAATAACACTAAAAAATTTACTTAAAGCATCCAAATAATCAAAACTGTCAACAAAACACCAAGAGATTTTCTAGATTTCCACTTTGAAAAAAAAGGAAAAGGCAATAAATCTAATCATGACTCAGAAATCAGAAAAATACATATGTATCCTTTAAACATAAGCAAAATCACTGAAACCCACTATTAGTAGCAGATAGCTGTGTTATCTGTTAACAAAAAAAAATTGTCTTCCTCCAGGGACCAATGTATTTGGATCTATGTCTGAGCTTCAAAGAGAAAAAACTGAGTTTCACAATTAGTTAACACACACACCCCCACACACACATTCACCCCGTTATCTCGGGGATTCTCCGCTCTCCTCCAGAAGTTAGGGCTGCTGACAGGGGACTTCTGCCAACGCTCAGGAGCCATCTTGCGCTGGGCAGAGGCGGACAGCTGCATCACACCCGAAGGCTGACGAAGGAGCAGCCATGACCCCAGGTCAAGGCCCGGGGGCAAGAGCAGCGAAGGCAGCCCAGAGAGGAGCTCAATCAGCACAGGCCTGGGGTGACCACCAAGAGCTATTTAAGGAAACGGTCCCTTGGACAGATCAAATCCAAGTCTTGCGTTGTGGAAAGCCCTTATTAATAATTTTTAGAAATGGACTTTGTGATTTGACTCCTGCAGGCTGAATGGTCAGCAGAATTTAGGAGACCCAGTGCCTCTATTAGATTCTCCTGAGCACCTACCTTTTCAGAGCTTCAGCTCCCATCTGTAGAATGGGAATCATAACCTCTAACCTCTATTTATATCATGAAGCTGTTAAAAATAAAAGGAAGATAAAAGATATCAGAGCAACTAACTAACCTACATAAGAAGGAAAATGTAGTAAGTAATAAAGAACAGTCGAGCCTAAATTAAGATCAGTTAGCATGTTAATATAAAATGAAGATAATTTACGTCTTAAATATGTTGTATACAGAAAAATGCAAACTACTCCCAAAATTAACAGATGGTACAGGAGACCTGGGTTTGGCTCAGTTAAGTATCTGACTTTGGCCCAGGTCATGATCTCACAGTTCATGAGTTCAAGCCTCACATCAGGCTCTGTATTAACAGCTCAGAGCCTGGAGCCTGCTTCAGATTCTGTGTCTCCCTCTCTCTCTGCTGCTCCCCAGCTCACACTCACTCGCTCTCTGTCAAAAATAAATAAAAACCTAGAAAAAAAAAAATAACAGATGGCAGATGTTTCTAAAGGCAACTATAGGGCAATGTGGTAATATCTATCAAAATAAAAGTTTATATAACCTTTGACCTAAGAATTCTCCCCTTTAATGGTATAAAAGATATATCTACAGGGCACCTGGGTGGCTCAGTCAGGTAAGCATCTGACTTTGCTCAGGTCATGATCTTGCAGTTCCTGAGTTCGAGCCCTGAGTCGGGCTCTGTGCTGACAGCTCAGAGCCTGGAGCCTGCTTCAAATTTTGTGTCTCCCCCTCTCTCTCTGCCCCTCTCCCCCTCATGTTCTGTCTCTGTCTCAAAACTAAACAAACACTAAAAAATTTAAGAAAAAAAACCCAAAAGATGTATCTACAAGGAAAAGAAAAATAAATATCTTTCAAAATGGGAATACCTGAATAAACCCTAGGTATGGTCACACTGAAATACTATGCAGCTGTCAAAAAGAATGAAGCAGATTTGTATTTTCCTGACATGGGAGGAGTTCTAATATACTTAATCCTAATTTTTTTTTTTTTAAAGCAAGTTGCAGGGGGCGCCTGGGTGGCTCAGTCAGTTGGAGGTCCAACTTCAGCTCAGGTCAGGATCTCACCATTCATGGGTCCAAGACCTATGATGGGCTCTGTGCTGACAGCTTGGAGCCTGGAGCCTGTTTCTGCCCCTCCCTCCATGCCACCCCCCAGTCAACAAACATTAAAAAAAATAAAAAGCAAGTTGCAGAACTATACACAGAGTCTGGTCCCATTTAGGTTAAAACTTGTCTCAGATGATCTTTGTGTCTACGTTTCACTGTCTGTGTGTGCATGTCTATGTGTAAAAAGGCAATGTGTAAGGACACCCCTCCAAGCCATTGACCATGACCCCTTTAGGACGGAAAGTGGGACCTGAAGAAGATCCCAGGGGAACACCCACATTTGCCCACATATTTTAGTACTCTACTCTTTAAAAGTGAGAAAGTAGAAACTACTAGATTTTTTAAAGGCAAAGATGGTTGTGTTAGTCCCTTCTCTTGCATAATTCTCTGATTATAGTAGATGCAAGTACACTGAGAACAGTTTGGACCCAAAAACAGGCAGAACGCAGCTCAATGGCAGAAGCAGTGTGTTCCCAAGGCCTCTGTGACAAATACTATGACACAAAGAACAATCAGCTATTCTTGGGACCACAGGTAAGAGTATTAGCATCATAGGTGACCACAGAGCAATTTAAGAGCTGAATCTCGATAAACAACTCAACAGGATAAACCCTGGAGCAGGGGCCACCCAGAGTGTTCTGTGACAGGGCACAGGGAGGGGGACAAGAGAAAGAAGTCGTGCTACCTTGCATGAGCACCTCCATGGCCGTCCGTGGCTTGGACAGCCGTCTCTCCTCTAATTCACTGTCAGATTCGTCTTCCTCCTGGATGTCAATGTCCGAGTCATCATTACCTGGGAGGAACACAAACAGGCAAAACAAAAGGGCAGCTCCATCATTACCTACAAAACAGCTTCTATCCATAATGCTCTGTGCAAAACCATTTGCACTTCTCAGCCTTCCTTCTGCTGCATTAGATTTTATGAGACTCTTGGGATTTCCCTGTAGATACTTGGTGAGGGGTTAATGCAGACAATGATATACTGGATTGTTGTTTTTTTTAAAACAACTTTTCAAAGCAAGAGAAAACTGGGTCAAACATATCAATTAGAAACACTATTCTGGTAGGTGAACTACAATTTGAATAACCAGCTGTCAAGGTATAGCTGGAAGTTCTTGGTTAGTTGGGGAGAAAGTTCATTCTCTGTTCAGTGTTAGGTGCTATTACCACAACTTGAACTCTCTGTGGGTAAGAAAGGTGAGGAGGCAGAGCCCACTGAAAAGGTGAGCGATTGCGCCCAAACAAGCCTGCAGGCAAGGAGGAGAGTGGGCCAGGAACAGCAGAGCACGCGTGGCCTAAGGAGGATGGTGACCTAGTGGCTACAAGAACTGGTGCTCATGATCTCGTTTCCTTTAGAAAATTCCACTGCAGAGATATACAAAGAGAGGGTGTTCTCACATTGTGAGATGTGCAACAGGCTTACACATTAATATCTTAACTACTCTTTTAGAGTCTTGTGCAGGTTAGACATTTCCTAATGGAAACGTACAGAAGGAGAGTTTCCACAGTGGAGAGAAAAAGCTTTCACTGCCCAGCCGGTTCCCTGAGGCCAGGGGGAGACACTGGTTTTGGAAGGACAGACTGGAAGAGTCTGCAGTTGCTGTCTGATCAGTGAGTCAGAGGTCAGCTTGGAAGTAAAGTAACTGTTTATCTATGAAAAGGCTTTGCTCAGCCCCTGCTCTAAGTGGGTAATGAAATGGCAGCTGTGTCACCAAGAGAAAGTTCTCTGCTTTCTTCACCATGGAGAGAAGAGCTGTGTTCTCCAGCGTGGAGGGGCAAAGCTGGGAGCCAGGGATGTGTAAGTAATAGCATCCTGCAAGGACTTCAACACATTTGGGTCTGAAAACCACCACCTTACAAAAGCCTATTCAGAGAATATAATTAAATACTAACACAAATTAATCACTACAAAATGAAATTACTATTCATTTTAGTTCACTTATTTCATCCAGGAATATTAGGACACTGTATCATTACCCCTTGCAATATAAATCAAATGATATCATGAATTTTTAAATAACAACACATGTTTCTCAGGCTCAGTATGATTTCTTCTGACAAACTCAAGCCAATACACTAAATTTAAGCTTGCTGACACAGAAAATCACCAAGTTATCAGTGACACATCTAAGTTAAGGATGGCTGACAAGAGTGCCCACAAAATGCAAAGAGGAAAGAAGAGTCTTTCAACAAATGGTGCTGGGACAACCAGAGAGCCACATGCACAACAGTGACTGGACCCCTGCCTCCCACCATACGTGAAAACTAACTCCAAATGGGTAAGAGTTAAAACTATAAAAAGTCTTGGGACTGCAAACTGGTGCAGCCACTCTGGAAAACAGTATGGCGGTTCCTCAAAAAATTAAAAATAGAGCTACACTATGAGCCAGCAATGGCACTACTAGGTATTTATCCAAGGAATACAGGTCTGCTCTTGCAAAGGGCCAGGTGCACACCAATGTTTATAGCAGCGCTATCAACAACAGCCAAGGTACGGAAAGAGCCCAGATGTCCGTCGATGGATGAATGGCTAAAGAAGATGTGGGATATATATACAATGGAGTATTACTCCACCATCAAAGAGAATAAAATCTTGCCATTTGCGACTACATGGATGGAACTGGAAGGTATTATGCTAAACGAAATTGGTCAAGTAGGAGAAAAACAAATATCATATGACATCACACGTATGAGGACTTTAAGACACAGAATAGATGAACATAAGAAAAGGGAAGCAAAAAGAGTATAAAAACAGGAAAGGGAAAAAAACATAAGAGACTCTTAAATATAGCAAACAGAGGGTTGCTGGAGGGGTTGTGGGAGGGGGGATGGGCTAATGGGAGGCAGGAGGGACATTAAGGAATCTATTCCTAAAATCATTATTGCACTATATGCCAACAAACCTGGATGTAAATTTTAAGAAATAATTATTTTTTAAAAAATACTATAAAAGTCTTGGAAGAAAACATAGGGAAAAATCCTGGTGACCTTAAATTAGGTGCTGGTTTCTTATTAAACAAAAACACAAGCAACAAAAGAAAAACTGATAGTGTGGACTTCATTAAAAGTTTGTGCAGCAAAAGCCATCACCAATAAAGTGAAAAGATGGCCCAGAAATGAAAGACAAATATTTGCAAATCACAACTTGCATAAGGATCTAGTATCCAGAATATACATATATCTCTGAAAATTCAATAAAAAAAATAACCTTATTTAAAAATATCCAAAGGACTTGAACAGACATCTCTCCAATAAATATTTATACAACTGGCCAACAAGCAATAAAAAGATGCTCCATTTCATTAGGTATCAGAACAATTCACATCAAAAGCACAATGAAATACTACTTCATACCCATGTAAACTACAGCTTATTTTTAAGTTTCTCTTACTATTATTTTTACTTTTAGATGTGTATTATTTGAGAGAGAGAGAGAAAGGGCATATGAAAGTGGAAGAGGGGGAGAGGGAGACAGGATTTGAAGCAGGCTCCATGCTGACAGCAGCAAGCCTGATGGGGGGCTTGAACACATGAACTTCAAGATCATGACCTGAACAGGAGATGGATGCTCAATGGACTGAGCCATCCAAGTCCCCCAAGTTTCTCTTTTTAGATAAGCATAGTCCAACAGAAATATAATGGCCAGCTGACAGATCTAATTTAAAATTGTCTAGTAACTACATTTAAATAAAAACAAGTACATTAATTCTAGTAATATCTCACTTACCCCCAATATATCCAAAATATCATCTCACTAAGTAAACAATGGAAAGTATTATTAATGAGTAATTCAACCTTTCATTCATGCTAAGTCTTCAAAATATTGTCCACCAATAGCACACCTCAATTTGGACCAGCCACACTCGAAGTGCTCAAGAGTCACACATGGCTTGTGGCGAGGTACTGGATGGCACCATTCTAGACTTGGCTCCCTGAGCACCTCACCCATCACTGTGCCCCAAGTGCTGGTACAACGCCTGACACACAGTCCACATGGAGCAAGTAAGTGTTACATGCATGAACATCTGCTCTCTATTACACCATAAAAACTAAATCACAGCAAGGTTACTAAAGTGCTCTCTAGAGGGGCGCCTGGGTGGCTTAGTCGGTTAAGCGTCCGACTTTCGCTTAGGTCATGATCTTGCGGTTCGTGGGTTCGAGCCCCGCGTCGGGCTCTGTGCTGACTGCCAGCTCAGAGCCTGGAGCCTGTTTCAGTCTGTGACTCCCTCTCTCTCTGACCCTCCCCTGCTCACGCTGTCTCTCTCTCTCTCT